CCATAATTCATCTTCAGCCACCTTTGGGGGCTCTTGTAGAGCTACGATATATAGTTTATGACTCTCATATAATTAATCCTAATGTAGTAAAGGATTGGGCACAAAGAATAGAAGAGAATATCTACATTCCGCGTCTATGTACTTGTATGAATGTGGAGAATTGGGAATCTTGACCATGGATTCGCACACATCCCTCTCTTTAATGAGAAGAAAAGAATGATTCATCAATTATACAAATCTCAACAGCACGCCTACGCTACCAAAAGTACAAACGAAGAAAGTATGTCGGCGAAGACTTCCAAGGACAGCAAATTTGCTGGGTACTTTTGCCCCAGACCTGAACCTGGAATAAACAATAAATCATATTTTCCTCGTGCCAACCGCTTAAACATAGCTGTATCATTCCATAATCACATCCATCCTCCGCATTGCCATTCCCACAAAAAGTTCGGTGTCAACACTCCGGTTTTTATTGTCGCTTACAATGCATGAAATGATGAGATCAGAATATGCTCTACACATACGCATGCATGGCCTCGGACGAATACTCATATGTAACTCTTCAATTTTAAGTGCCCGGTGATACACTTGCCCCTGGATCGTGTACTTCTTTGATATGGAATATACTTGCTTATAAGAAACTGAGGATTACGGTTCTTCTATACGTAATAGAGTTTGAAGATGCGTGAAAGAGGAGCTGCTGAGTGGAGCGTTGAAAGAGGAAACATAATTGCTGTTATAAACTCATATTTAATTTGTTCGCCCGGGGAAACTGAAAGACGGAATCAAACTACTGTAATCAAATCTTAATGTCTACCAATTTACATTCCGCTCATGCCTTCCTAATCGTCAGAAATGATAGTAGGATTGTGAATGTATATAAATCCACCGAAATCCAATTCACAACTCTATATCATGTTTACGCACAAGGAGGCACCTTCGATGGCGAGTTGGTCTTTCAGTTTGTGAATGATAGCTAGATATCTTTTCGTGGGAGTTAAGTTGACTTCTTATGTACGGATTCGTTTATGTAGGATATTAATCGTTAGTGGTGGGCGTGTTTACTTTTATCTTTGATTGTTTATTGTTGTTATTTCTTAATTATCGTTATTTTCTATTCATTTCTTCATGTTTCGAGGGAGAGGGTAGAATATTGAAGTGAAATCAGCTGGACCTGGTGAGAGAATCCAGATACTTTGATTTCTGAGCGGATTATGTTATATGGTAGGATGAAATGAAATGATTCGACATCTTTCCTGTGTGACGAACTGATAGGTTGTATATGTTATACTGTCTAAGAAGCTTTGGAGTATTTACGACTTTTATACTTGGGTTTGATGTTGCGTGAGAGATACTGTTGTGTGGATATGTGAATATTCATATTCATGGTACTGGGACAGAAATGGAATGAGGTATATTAAGCCATTAACAGACGTTTCTATATCATAATACAGGAAAAACTTCTATCTCCATATCGTCCAGGATTGGATTGTATGGTCTTAGTGTTGGTTAGGGTCTTAAGTGTTCGGGCTGTTGCTGCTACTTTGATGTTCAAACGCTTGAACTTGGGGAGTAAACGGAGATTTGGGTGGCGAGGATTCTCGTTGTCATTAGCATGTTTTCATGTTGTTAGACTCACCGAGTCTTTTGCTCGTTTGTTCAATCTGTTTGTCATTTACTGAACTTAATTTCACTGTCGTCTGGATGAGATGTTGATTTCGGCAAGTTAGCTGATTCGGAATTTTGATACAAAATGCTGCCAGTACGGAGTGTTATGAAATGGATCTACGGATACGGATAGTAGGCTTTCAGACTAAATCCCTACCAATGAGTTGGCACATTAGCTTGATATTTTTGATTCAAAAAAGGTTGGAATCTAGAGAGTTTATATATTCTCACCAAAACGATAATCGAAACATGATGGCTAGGCTTTTCAGAGAGCGATTCTATGACCACATCCGAAAGTGCTATCCAGCTTGACCTCACATTTCCAAACGTTTCCCTTTAATTTCTCATGCCCTATAAAATCCTCATAGATAATTATACAAGTGAAATTCTTATGCGCTATGTAAAGAGTCATTCAAGACCAAAAACTCTCTGTAGAGAAACAAAACAGTACCCATCCTCGAGACATGTGGTAGGCGCGATATCGATCAATACACAAAGTCTCCCACCACGGCTTCAAAGTTAAAAGTGAAGCTTCAAATCGAAGTAGGGGAGATACATGGTCAGTATTGTTATCGACTGAAACTTCTCGTTGCTATTACGATAAATTTTGTCATCTGTAGATAGATTCTCAACACTTGTTGAATACTTATTGAAAAAAGTTTGAAACCCCAAAAACCAAGAATTATACCCAGAAGATTGACCGCTTCAGTCTCGAGGGTATTTTCATAGGCGGCCGGAACTCACCAACTGCACATCAGAATGGTTAGATATGGGCTAGTATTCTCCAGATATAGAGAAAAGGAAAAATCGTGGATCTTTATATACCCCCCAAATTCCAAAATACCTACCCTTGAGAGACTCTACAAACAGAAGGAACCCCTCTGAGTTTGAGGAAGCTGTAAAGAGAGAAGCGACATCGGAGATAGTGCTTTATTAGTTATTACACCGAAAATTCACCTTGCAAGTTGGGAACTTGGGGTATATAAACCACCTCAATCATGAAATTGAACTAGCCGAGGTACCAAATACACCTGAAAGGACTGACAGAAGACTGCGAGGTCTGCAAAATCCATAGGTCAAAGCAGTCTTGGCATCGGATATCGAGTGTAAAAGAGATTTCTACTCAGAAATTAACATTCGGTATACCACAAGTATCTAATCACCGATTCTTCCATTACTATCATACCCCGATGCTTTACTATCGGGAAATCTTCTTCGTCGCCGTTCGCAAAGGTTATTATCCATCATATATTTCTCTCACTCAGGTCTTTCATCTCAATCTTACCCCCCATCCAAACTCTTCACAAAACCCCTCCCAATTCCCACACAATTCCCATAAAAACCACCGTTCCCCAAAGGGTTGTGCCTACTGCCCACTGCCTACTACATAATGAGCAGAAAGAACAAAAACCTTGGTGTATTTGAGAACAGAACACTTCCATGTATGGATTCCTATCTCCAGAAAAGCCGTGTTTATATAGAGGTCCAAGATGGAAATATTGCCGAATCTCTTGATGTTGAGACCTATTGGGATTTGTTCGCTTTGGTTTAGGGCTTTTCAGCTTATCTCTCGCTCAAAGTAACATGATGTAACCTCACAAGACTACTATAAAATTCTCTACAAAAACTTTCCTCGTCTCAGTAAATCTCAAATTTCCAGCATCAAAACGCCCAAAATGAACGAGGAAGATGGATTGAGGATTCTTCTTGGATTGAAGATTCTGGAAAGGCTTTGTGCGGGGAAAGGAGTATGTGGAGCATCTCAAAATATGCTAGAGCTTAAGGTGAATATCATCTCATTGTCGCCAAATACAAGCATTGTCATATCTTCATACATAGAAATCCCAGCGGTAATCCAATTTTACTACCATTCTCTCTCTCACCCGTCCAAATCTCCATAGATAGATATATATCCCCAATTCCCCTAACTATAATTGTCATACACCACCATTCCCCTCTGTGTATTTCCTCAAGTTCCAGCCCTCATACCAGCCGCTAATCCACCAAACGAAATGATCTCCAAAAGAGCCTCCACCACCCTGTCGCATCTTTTCTTCTCTTTCATCCAAAAGTTTGAACTCTGCAGAATGCGAAACCCGAAGGCTACTTATACACCGGAAACTGAAATTTTGAATCAACCAGTCATTTGTTCCTTTCACGCTTGCTATTGTCTAAAGAAGTAATAAATCCACTCATTCTTTTCCCTTTCCCTTTCTCTTTCCCTTTCCCTTTCTCTTTCCCTTTGCTTTACACAAAAATCCATTTATTCTTAAACATACACCAAAGAAAGAAACAGGGAAGGGAGGCGGGAAGTATATAAACCCTTCTCTCCCCCCTCCCTCTTCTCCCCTGTACATTCCTGCACAAAGAAACTCAAGGAGAACGCGGGACGAGCGAGAGAGAAGAAAAGAGAAAGTTGTTTCCGAAGATAAGATCCGGAAATCCGATCAAATTTATCTTCACGGCCCGGGAACAGGAAAATCACGATGAGTATTTCTGATTTATGATGATGATGATGATGATGATGATGATGATGATGATGATGATGATGATGATGATGATGATGATGATGATGGTAGTAAATTCATGATGTGAAGGCGTGTTTGCAGACCAATATTGGTAATACTTACATATATACATGCAGTTTTAGTTGATTGTCTGATTTTGTGTTGTGAATTGATACCTAGTATTGGTATCATCAGATATAGTTATCTATTCCTGGAGCATTGTGCGGTTCTGGGAGACAAGACGTCTGGCCAGCGCCGGGGAGAAAATCTTGGGATTCGAGGAAATTGGAGATGCTGGTGTAGTCTGAGCTCAAACTATCATTCAGAATGTTTTTCGTCGTTAATGGATCGAAATGTTTTAGCTTGGACGGATATGTATGTATAGATATACCTTCAAGCCTCGGGAAATACGGGGAGTGCAATCTCCTTACAACCAATCTTACAACTAGCAAACTGGCACGCACTACAAAAAAAGCCTAGTGCGATATATAATGTAAATTCGATGTAATTTAAACTATGGTATCTTAAAAGCTCAACGATTGTCTTTCTTTCTTGAAAATTGAAGAGGAAGAAAATGACTTTCTGTCTGTCTGTTGGTTGCCATTAACTGCGCCCACCATCTTCCGTCTTACAAACCGTCTGCTGTCTTCCAAATATCTTTCATCTCTCCTTTACTCCACGTAATAATCATCGTTCATCTTCCCAACCATAACATCCTCTCCCCAAAACGAACCAAAGCAAAGAAAACTTTCAGAAATCCTTTCCCCCATTCCCGATTCTCTCACCTGATAGACACTACCGCGATCAACCTCCTCCACAACTCATCTAAACAAGTTCTTTCTTCTGCCCGCCAACCTCAAGCCCACTACTAACACCTCTCGTATCCAATTCCTGCTCGACCCACACCTCATCTTCAAACTTATAAAGCTGAGGCTCCACCTCCCCCTTTCTCCTCAAAATCCACTTCCTAGCCCACCAAGGGAACTGCTGCTGAATCTGAAACTTCGCATGAGTTCTCGTCGGTACCGCAAACACATAATCCAATTCCTCGAGCGTTCTCTGTTTAGTTTCCGGGAGGAAAAAGAAGATTAATGCGAATGCGACGAGATTGAGTCCGGCATAGAAACCAAATACACCTTGTGGTTTCATAGCGGATAACATGCGTGGAAGAGTAAGGGAGAGTACCGAGGCCCAGAAATTGTTGGTCGCAACGGCCCAGGACATGCCAATCTCACGATGGGATAAGGGGAAGACTTCGGCGGAATAAGTGAATGGAACGGGTCCTTCACCGGGGGAATAGGCAATATCGAAGAGGTAGATGAAGAAGGCTACCATGCCGATATGTGCTTTAGATGATTGTGGGATGAAGTAACAAAGACCTGCTGCGAGAAGAGTCCAGAACATTTGAGGGAATGTAAAGAGGAGAAGTGTACGACGACCAAAAGTATCGATTGTCCAGACGGCGGGCCACGCAAAGATGAAATTGATAAGACCAAAACCGAAGGAGGCGAGAAGTGCACCGATGATTGTTGCGCCTGCGTTTTTGAAGATGGTAGAGGAGTAGAATGCAATGATATTGACTAATTGATTAGATACGGGTTAGTGAGTCGTCGCATAAATTTTCCACTTGAGGTGAGCGGGATGAAGGGTTCAAAAGAACAAAGACATACTTCCACACATCTGCTGCGCAATCATAACAATACCACTCGCTTGCGTTGCTCTCCTCAATCTTGGCACCGTAAATAACTCGATGAATCTAGTGAACATATTTCCGTTCTTCGCCAATCCACTCTGCTCCAATAAACGATCCTCATAGTCCAATTGTGCCTGGATGGAATACAAATCTCTCGCAGCCTGCAATGGCGAATTTCTCAAACGTAATAGCGATCGATATGCTTTCGCTACATTTCCTTTCTTCAACAACCATCTCGGCGATTCGGGACAGAAATATATTCCAATAACAAGAGGGATTGCAGGAACAAGCGCAGAACCAAATTGTAATCTCCACGCCAATGCACCGGAATGCACAAACACGAGATTAGCACATGTACCGAGGAAAATACCAGCAGCGGTCCAGACTTGCCAGGACATGACGAGACCACCACGGATACTGGGGGGAGAATTTTCGGCGGAGAAAACGGGGACAGTTACTTCTTTGAGACCCATTCCGATACCGAGGAGGACACGACAAGCCATTAGTTGGCCGTAGGTTTGGGAAAAACCCATGCCAAGTGGAGCGATGAGAGAAAAGATTGCTGCGACGAAAATGGTACCGCGACGGCCGATGTAATGGTTTACGGGGTCGGAGATCCATGCGGTGCTGTGGAGTAACCTATCAGTTTTCATCCGGGAAAAATGGAATGTAGGAAGGTAAATGAAAAGAATCTTGGCGATTGACTTGCAGAAAATCTGGCATACTACTCAGTTGCAGATCCCAAACTGTAATTACATCTGAGATGAAAGATGTAAGTCTTAACAAAAACCACTCACAAGAGACAGATAGCCATATAAGGCATTGCATTAATAGCACCAATAATCCACGCATTCTTATCACAAGTACCCTGAGCTTCGCAAATAGGGCCTGTATCTGGGATGCCTAAAGCATCTCCAAAGGTAAGATTTGCGCCATTGGCACCTATTTCCATTAGTCAATATTTCTCGAGAAGATGCATATTCTTGGGTAATCTACCTGTTTGATCCCACTATACGATGAGGTCAGTATTATTCTAGCAGGATGATAACCTATAGGGCGCAAAAACGAAGAAATTTGGGAAGAAACCACTCACACCCTGGATAGCAGCAGCAACGGAATTCAAAATAATAGTCATATAAAGTTGTTTGGGATGTTTCCAACGATGCGTAACTTCCTCCTCCAAAACTCTTCGATCCTCATCATCAAGTTCAGTAATCTTATCCGCATGATGAGGACTTTGCGCAACAAGTGCTCCTTTGATTAAATTTGGGAGAATATCAGTGAGATTGTGCTTATTTGCAAATGTTTCGACGTCGGCGAGAAGTTGATGTTTGGGGATTCCGACGAGGGGATTTCGGATTCTGTGATATGTTAGAGGAAAAGAGGAAAAATAGTAATAGAGATGGAGAGAACATACTCGCCAGTGGTGTTGGCGGATAGCTGAGTGAGATCAATTCCTCCTTTACGAGGGACTTCTTTTTCTTGTGTTCCAACTTCATCTTTCTCGTAGGCGGGAGCTACCTCGCCAGTATTACTGGAGATGTTTGTCGTCGCACTGTCAAAAGCCTTGTCAGCAAACATTGGAAAACCAGTAGCTCATGAATAAAAGTTACCTTTGATCGTGCTTATGGTGAGGACCCAAGTCATCAGCCATTTTGAATATTAATCTCGAGTTTGGTTACGTCAAAATAACTCTTTTCTCACAGAAGATCGATATGTTTATATGAAGTTTGTGATCCCAATACCAAGACCGAGGACCGTTAATATTCAAACAAGAATATTGCCCAGCCAAACCGGCGAGTGATCAATTAATAACTTATCAATTTCAAAAACGAAAGTGCGAGGGAATCAGACGGGAACACTAGATTTAAAGGATACCTGGACGACAGACAGTACATACTGCACGAGCATGCACAAGGCCCTACAGATGATTCACCATTTCCAATGAAACGTCGGTGATGCCCGCACCTACATGAAATATCATACGCCTCAAATCTCCATAATCGTATATGAACCCTTCACAATCCATTTACAATTCACTCCAGAGCTCAAGCTACCCCGCATTCGAATCCCTGAAGCTGACGCTCCAATCCAGCCAAACCCTAGATCTTATTGTGTAACCCCAGAAACAGAGTATCCCTTGGCCTCACTCAAAATCTTCGTGCATGCATGATTATCATATTTGTGGCGCGAATAACTTCACCTAATTTGACACGATTCATTGCAAAATTGATAACGTGATCGTGTATCACCGGACTTTGTCGGTCGTATAAACATTTTGTGGTTACATAGCCATGTTACATTAATTAAGTGGCTTGCGAACTTTTGTAACGGATTTCGAAAAGGCTCGGAAAATGGCGTAAGAACGGTTGTAATGAGAAAGCACCAACACGTAAAAGATGGAGATCCTTGATGAATGGATATGCATATTGAAGTCATGAAAAGAGGATGTTTTTTGTCGGTGAAGGAACCACAGCTTATGGTTATACCAAGAAGATATTCCTAATCATCTGCACATGTTCAGTGAGCAAAATCAAAGAGATGACAAAACAACCAATCACAAGTATACCGTAATTTTCGTATGACAATAAATCGAACGATATGTAAGGAATCAGAAACCTTATAGATATTTTGAAACAATGATTCAAATTTCATCTGCAACATCTGCAAGGCGCCGGTTGAACTTTCCGAAGAATGTGGCATCGCGCAATGAATGTCTCCATTGAGGTGGAAGACTCGCTCAGATCGATTAATAATGGGGGCAAACTCCCAACCCCCATAGCTCGCTACGCTCGAGATGTTAATAAATATGCTGAAGATTGAAGGTATACATGCTTTCTTTTTTTGGAATATTCTGCCTCCACGGCAGTGGCCCCCGGAGGGCGGAGAGCGGAGAACCAGCGGAGCGTCATTCATTCAAGACCATGGCTGTGAACATTGGTGGATATTTGATTCATTCATCTACCTAGGCAATTTATCCTTAAATCCTAACGTACATCCTTGAAAATGTGTGAGAAAAGGGAGTTTCGCGCTTTATCCACCGTCCTACTAAAGGGTTGTAGCGAAAGCCAGAATAAAGCGTATCCTAATTCTTAATCTCACATCAATCCGAAAGGATCTATTCAATCTACCAACGCTCCGTTAAGAACAACTCTCTATGTGAGAACATGTTCCTGCAGTTCCTGATAAACTGCATCATTGGAAAAAGGCCAAATTGCCTGTGTTCTACTGCTCCCAAATCAATACACCATATCTCGACGTGATATTTCATTTGTCTAACCCTTTGTACCGACATGCCATAAGTATCTATTCAAGCCTCTGCATCGACAGCCCACCCGAAATGGTCAATCAACCAAAGGATCTGCTCAATGTAGTTAGTTCACTTCCCCTAATCGCAGAAAGAGGTGTACTTATCTCCTGCCCGGAGGGGTTGCCTCAATACTTTGGGCAAAAGTATGAGACAACCCAGGACTACCAACCATTAGGCCTGTCCTTTAACTCAATTCCCAAATGCCCTGACCATCAACCACTAGAAAGTCCAAATCATGTACAACCAAAAAGCTATCGAGTCAGGCCCATTCAAGAATCTGACAAAGTAATCAATGCTACCCGTGATAGACAAGCACTAAGCTTTGACACCAACACGAGATGGGTCCCATCATGGACACTGAAGTACTTTTCATCATCAAAATGAGTGATCTGAAACTATCCCGATTTGGTGCAACGACTTTAGGACAGTCTATCATCACATTCCATCGTTCGCGCTTTACAAACAAATCATTCCAGAACTAACACCTTCATCAACCCATGTATAATTGAAACCCTTTGTGAAGGGATCGTCTCGATTCGAGATCATTTTAGCGGCGAGCGACATAAACGATCAAGTACCTCAGCGTAGTTCGAAAAACCTCTCTCTGTTTGGAAAGTATAGTCCACGAAGATAAGTTTTTGATTCCTCTGCAAGAAAGCAGGGCACAAACGGACAAAAGACATCAACAAAAGCCGTGATCATCTCTAACAGTTACGAAAGAGGAAAAGTGGTAACAAACATCCGAAAATATTGTCCCAAAATACCGGCGTCTTCCATCACTCTAATGTATGTTGTAGAGGAGAAAGTTAATGCGGTGATCGTAGTTACATTCAAATGAATGACAAAGCCTATGGTTGATACCGCGGCAATGGTCTTGAGAAATGACTGCGTACATAAATGTACGAAGCATTGAAATGAGAAAGGTTGGAGACAAGATTCACTCCCCGGAGGAGGGAGGTAGAATACAACGGAAACGGAGTAGCTTCACCATTACCGAACCACGTTGACTCATCTCTCTAGATGTTCATAACAAGAATATCGAGAGGCATTGACTTCCGGAGCATGGTAATACGATTTTCTTCAAATGATAAAGCATTCGAAGGACAATTCTTCTTGTGATCTCCATTCCCAAGACCACCCACAGGAGTGAGTTTTTGATCAAGGGAGTATATGGAAATATACAATCCGAACAGCCTGTTTGTAATCTTCAATAAATATTCTGCTCAGTCTTTGCCCCTTGGATATCTTCATCATGTAATCTTCGAGAGTGTATAGAGAAAACGAGACGATTCGTAATAGCTTGTGTGAAGACCCTCATGATACCTTCTCGCAGAAGAACCAGTTCCATCTCAATTTGTATCTCCTTGTTCAAATCAACTTACATTATCATCGAAGACAACCATATTGATCAAAGACGTCCAGCCGATTTCCCTGACGGAGCGTCCCTACGCGGGCTCTTACTGGAATAGCTCATAGCAGAAATCAGTTTTATCGTCTTTCGACATCTGGACTATTCATTCAACTTTTCGACCTTTTGTACATTCCTCAATCGTGTAACCTTTCGGCTTCACTATATTGGTCCGAGACAAAATTTCTATTCAGAAGAACAAATCAAAGCCGCAAAGCTTTTGAACCGGCAGTATTCTTAGGGTTAAGTTCTGAATCGTATAATTCCTTTCGGAATATCGAGTCAGAGTCTGTAGGGTAGACGATATACTTGGTTTGTAAGGTGAGAGAGGGTTTTCGAATTCGTCGCGTTCAATCGAGGTATTTGGTGTCGTAAAGGTAAGCTCGTTGCTATATGATATTCGAATCGAGGTTGAAGCTCTTCGAGTGATAATTCAATGGGAGGAGGTAGGTGATGAGTACTGGATGTTTTTTGTGAGCAAAGAATTGCAAATGACAATATAAGAGGTGATGATGTTTTCCCTTTGGTCATGACGATTGGAAGGGGAAGATGTGTGTGCACGCGTTCGCGTAAGGCTGGATTTCGACGCGACACGCTAATTGACAGCCTAAAATTTCAACTGTTAAGCTTCAAGCTTCAAGCTTCATCCGCTTAGCCTTAGGCCTGAACATTACCAGCTAACAGGTATTTGCCCAACAGTTGGAATTTTAGGGGTTATGTTTATTGGGTATGTGAATTAGAAATTCCTCTCCTTGTATTGAGACCTTACTTTCCATTCATACTAGAATAGCAATCTTTTCGTACCTACTTTTCGTACCTGTTTTTCATTATCATCTTATATTCACACAAAAGTTTGGAGTGAGCGAGGGAAACACGAGATACAGGTTGAAAGTTTTCAGCTCAATCTTATAGGCTCCGCAATGAATTCGAACGAGGAAAAGCATCTACATTAATGTATGTAAATATGGTAGCTTGGTGGTCAAATCTTACTCAGTCTTATTAGAGCACGAAGCTCAGGCCCTTTTGAAGGAATTTGGGTGACGACGCAGCTTATTGAAAATGCCATTCAGGAACAGCTCCATAACCTTATATCCTTATGTGGAAATTTCTATTCTCAAAGGGGCTACTTAGGATGTACTAGGTAGGCTCTTAGGGGTATACTCTTTGTGCACACACATGGACTTTCGAGATTTCTCGTTGTCGTTTGAAAGGTACAAAAAAGTTATTGTCTTCTGTACCGGTGTTATATGAGATACTCGTACTCGATAAAAGAAACATGATCTAGAATACGAAGATATTATTATGGGGGCACGCCCCCAAGGCCCCATAGCCATCTGGGTCTTTCCCACAGAGTCAAGTCAGCATATGCCATACAATATATAGTGGATAGCCCCTAAACCTTATCACAACTACGCCACACGAGTGGTTCCCGATGTTTTCAAATACGCATACAGTTCTATTGTACGTCACCTACTCGAAACATTTGCTTCACATTACTTCAGGAACCCCAAAGTTCTCTCCAGTCTGCACATCACAACTATTGTCGAATTTCAGATTATACTTCGTAGTTCAAACGGCATGATTCGTAAGATTGAAGAATCAGCCCCAATCGGGGCGGTTTGGAGATCTAGGCCGTGTATCACGACTTCCCGAGAAATGAGGAACATCTTGAAACCGCCACGTTTTCAGGGTTTGTCCAATCCTGTGAAGAATCCCATTGTGACATCCCCTTACCTTCAAAGTAAACCTTATCCGAACGATCCAATCCAAGACCTCACTATTAGTTTTTCCATCTGAAGTGGAGCCTCAAAAATGTTAAAATATCCCAAGAATAGCTTGCTGATGGCCGTGCGTCTGTTACAGATACGTCGAATATCCTTGTTCAAGCGTTGATAGAACGTTCCAAGATAGGCTCGTCTGAAAATCTTCATCAATGGCATACACGCGTTCTTCTTAATTTGCTTACTTTTTGGATCAAGTTAGGTTATGATGACATGACGTGAAGATAAGGAGGAAGCTGATTGTAGGTAGGTTATCTCGAGGTGTATTATTCTTTTCTATTCCTGAATGTGATTTTCTATGCAATTCTTCTACACACTCCTTTGAATAATTGCTTCATTTGTCCTTTACCATTCTTTTTCTTCATTCTTTTGACTTGACATTCTTGGAAAACTCCTATCCTTACATCTTTATCATTTGATATGCACGTCTTTTCTTTCTTTACGAGATCTTCATAATACCACTTTTTTCATTTCATCATCACCTGCCTTTCCTACCATATACCCATTAACCACCGCCATGTTATTTAATCCACCGCGGAACTCACCTCGTCTCTTCTGCCTGGCTCTACTCTCCACCTTATGCCTCTGCTTCCTATTCCAATGGCGTCGCGAACTCTCCTCTCCCAAAACATCCTGGAAACTTCTCCCTTCGCCCCTATCTCCCGAAATCTCAGTCAAAGATCCAAAACCCCGCTTTGAATCTTTCCTCTCCAGACTTCTTGAACAAAAACCCTCAAATTCATCTCTAGAACTCCCAGACGGATACGTGCTAGTACGGATTGAGGAGATCAATGAAGAATCAGAACGAATAGACCATCTCACCTTAAGCCAAGAAGATCTTGATATCTCCACAAAAGCCCACCTCAACGTCGTAGAACTCCTCCCAGAATACTCCGACCTAATTACCTACGCCCCTAAAACCAACGGACTCATAACCGTCGGCGGCGGTTCTTACACACCCGCCCTCCTCGTCTCCATTCGCATGCTGCGAAAAACAAACTGTACCCTCCCAATCGAAGTATTCATCCCCACCCACGAAGACTACGACCCCTATTCCTGCAGCATTCTCGCCTCCCTAAACGCAAAATGTATTTTCCTCCCCTCTTTCCAAAACGTCACCATCGACCGCTACCAATACAAATCTCTCGCATTCCTCTTTTCAACCTTCGAATCCGTCCTTTTCCTCGACGCTGATAATTTCCCCCTCGTTGATCCCACTACTTGGTTTTCTGCTCCTGTCTTCCAGGAAAAAGGAATGATCACCTGGCCGGATTTCTGGGCTAACACCGCTTCTCCTCTTTTCTATACCCTGGCAAATCAATCTATCCCGGCTATTCAATCCCAACACGCATCTTCCGAAGCGGGCTCAATCCTCATTTCCCGCAATCTTCATAGCCAAACATTGCTCCTAGCCTTCTATTACAATCTCTTCGGACCAGGCTTCTACTACGAAATGTTAGCCCAAAAAGGGATTGGCGGAGAAGGAGATAAGGAAACTTGGGTAGCCGCCGCGAACGTATTGAAAAAAGACTACTGGCAAGTTCGAGAAAGAAACCATGCGCTCGTGAGCGTAGAACAGGTAGAAAAAGAAGAGGAAGATGAAGAAGGAAATTGGAGAAAAACCGGAGAATGGGTTCGAGTTGGAGAAGAAAATTTAGACGAGGTGGTTGCGATGGTGCAATTTGATTTCATCGCGGATTATGAAGCTTCGTTCCCTACACCTCCACCGTCTTCTTCTTCATCTAGTTGGAGACTCGATCTCAAAACTAAAAAAGATTCGAATGATTCCGAAACGGAGATCAGAGATGTGGACATCCCCACTTCGAGAAATAATCCAGATGCAAAAATTGTTTTCCTCCATGCAAATCGTATAAAGCTACACCCGGCAGAAGTTCTCGAGCGATTAGATGATTTCCACGGGAGAGGAAGAATGTGGGGGCGAAAGAGAAAACGATTCAACGTTTTGGGAGAGATTTGGAAGCGGAGATTTGGGGAGAGGTTATCGAGGTGGCGTGTAGGTTTGGAGATACTTTGTTGTTGGAGGGGGGAGAGGAAGAGGGAGAGGAGGGAAACCAGGTTTCGAAAGAGAAGGTGTGCGAGGATTTGAGACGGTTTTGGTGGGGGATTTTGGGAGCGGAGGAAGTGGAGGAGAGAGTGAGGAGTGCGGGGGAGGAGGATAGGAGGGAGATGGTGAGAGGGAGGGGGGGAGTAGGAGAAGGAGAGGGAGAGTGGAAACCGAGGTTGATTCATGAGGATGGGGTTAAGAGGGCTGGGTAAATTATATACATAAAGATGTCAATAGGGTCAGGTTGCTTTCACAGCATTAGCAGTACAGAAACAAGGCGTCAAGGAAAGCACAAGCATAGCATAGCATAGAAACAGTGATACCTTTTTTTAATTAATTTTTTTACAATAAATCTTTTTACTATGAGGGTTGCATTTCTGCATTTTGATAAAGAAAAGACTAAAGAAAAAAAGTAACCATTAACCATCAACTAATCTGATCACCCAACTGTACCTATTGTACAAAAGCTGTTATTGTTCTGACATCAACTTGTAGGAATGATGTGCTCTTCGGGGATCCGACCAGACGAGAACCTAAAAACAACTAAAAAAAAATATGTCTTCCCAGATGACAAATCTTGATGCTTCAGCACAGCAATTATGATGTGTCCCAGGAAGAATGTATGCAGCACCTAGAATGAAAACTCCTCAGAGATAAAGAGATGAAAATTGTGTTGAGGAAAGGATTTCCCATCAGAAGAGAAAGTTCCCCAATCCAAAAGAAAAGAAGATTTTCCCTCACAAAAGAACAACTCCCCCGTCTCGTAAGAAGTAGAAACGCCTCCCAAAGAAGGTATCACTAAAGGAAAGGGAAATTCCCGAACAAACTCGATGCACTGTGAGGAATCGTGGAATCGTGAAGTCGAGAAATCGTGAACCATAAAATCGAAGAAGAGAAGAATCGTAGAATCGTGAAACTGTATGTTTACACCACCATCGCCTGGATTCGAAATACAATGTCGTGTGCCGTGCGAAAGAACCTTTGCGTCTGGTGTATACGAATCGCCCATGATGTACAGACCGTCGAATTCGAGGAGGGTTAAGCAAGTGCAGAAGAGCCGGAGCTGAGACCCACAGCTAACTTGGTTCGTTTTGCAGGGGGTTGGTCCTCAATTTCTTCCTCGCCATCATCACCATCACCATCATCATCAACAGCAGCATTACCATCATCAGCGCCGACAGGGTTGTTATTATCCTATTCAAAAGAGTTAGTCTCAAATGCGATAAACATTCACGAGAAATGAATTTGCCGACTTGGCACAAGGGAAATTGGGGAAGGAAAAATATTGACATACATTCGACAACGACATCAGCATAGCAATGAACTCATCAACATTCATCGTATTAGGACTGAGTTCCTTAAGCTCCTTAACTTGCTTAGCTAGAGGATTCTCGCCCAAAATAACATCCGTGGTCGCCTTGGTAATTGCTCTCGATGTCTTGCCACCGTACAGCCTTGACAGCTTTTCGATGTTGATGCGGCCGACAGTGGGGAGAGTTCCAGAAACAACAAATGTTCTGCCTGCCAAGAATGTGCCTGTATTGTTAAGAAGAGTCTTGATGTGTTCCGGAACCTCGGTTTCGGCTTTCTTCTGACTCTTCGTGGCGACTTGTCTGGCTGCTGGCTTATTCTTGTTGATTTTTGCTTGGCCTTCCTGATCATCGTCGTCATCACTGTCAATGACAACGACTGCCTTTGAAGCTGCTCTTGATCTGACTGGGCGTGACTTTGTCATAGTTGGAACATCATCATCCTCATCCTCGTCACCTTGAGCCTGGGCTTTCTTGGCTACCGCTCTCGGCTTTGCAGCTGGCTTCTTGACCGCGGGAACTTGAGACTTTCCTTTCTTTGATGGATTCTTGGGAACTTCAAGTTCATTATCATCATCATCATCATCATCGTTATCGGCTTCAGAACCAATCTCAACAAAGTTAACCGCCTTGATTTTCTTCGCTCTGGGTTTTCGCAGCTTTCTAGGAGCCTCAACGGGCCCCTGGACATCCTCATCATTGTTGGCGACTTCTGGAACAACCTCAATAGTGTCGGCAGCCTTCTTTTTTCCCGCTCTTGGCTTTGCTACCTTAACAGGAGCTTGAGCTGGGGCCTCGATGGTCTCGTCATCACCAATGGCTTCGGAATCAACCTCAACAGCCTTGGCTGCCGCCTTTCCCTTCGCTCTGGGCTTTACGGCCTTTTTAGGAACCTCAACGGCCCCGGCAACGACAACGGCATCATCTTCAATGGCTTCAGAATCAACCTCACCAGCCTTGGCGGCGCTTCCATTCTTTGCTCTTGGCTTTACTACCTTGACAGGAGCCTGAGCTGGAGCATCTGCATCTTTCACCTCCTCGATTTCTGAGAGATGATCTTCTATCTTTGGCAATGCCTTTCTTCTCGGCTTCCTCTTCTTCTTAGTATGATTCAAATCAAGAAATGTCTCGTCTTCCCTATCAGCCCAATCCGCTGGAGCAGCTTCAACAGCCTTTGGTTCAGACGCAGGTAAATCACCCAAGGGATTGTTTTCGAGAATTTCCCTAGCCTTTTGCAAATCCAAGTCTCTCATCTTTTCAAGGATGGTGGTGTTTCCACCGCGGAGGTGGAGGGGCATAATTTGGAGATAAGCGGGGCAACATAACTTAAGCTCTGCATATCGCACCTGTGCTGATGCTAGAGTGGCATAAGCAATCGTATCGACACCAACAGGTGAATCATTGAGAATAATCCAAATCTGAGAAAGCTCTTCTGCGGACCCAGCCCAAGGTTTACCATACTTCGTCACATCGGTCGATGTTTTGATGATATCATCGGTTTGCAATTTCTGATGCTTCATGGATACGTTAGATTGTTGGAACTTATCTTGTAGAGTGGAGGCATCTGTTCTGCGGTTTGGGTTCCAGTGTGTCGGTGCATCGAAAAATTGGTCATCCATCGATTGGTCCGATTCTTGACCTGTGCCTTGCATCAAGTCTTCTGCTTGGGCTGATGTGGACTGGTGGGCTGGTGGTCTCTCACTTTGTTGCATTGATAACTCGCCGTGTCGATCAATCGTATTTTGTTTTGCGGACCCATCGGTGTGTTGAGCCATGTGGTCCTGCTTTGACGCCACGGCAAGAGCTGCTTGTTCCTTACTCAACTGTTCCGACTTTCCAGACTGAAGAGCTTGGTGAGCTAACCAGTAATCATCAACTTCTATTCGATCTGGGTCATTGAAGATTAGGCCGACGCCACTGCGTTTCTTTTCATCTTCTTTTGCTTTCGCGTCTCGATCAATTTGAACACTCTCCTGCACTGCTTGTTTTCGCTCTCTTTCTTGTCTTGATTCTTCCTGCAATAGTTCTTCTTTTTCTGCCTTTTTCTTCTGGGCTGCTGTCATCTTCGGCTTCGGTGGTGGCACACCTACTGAACCATTTGCTGGCGTCGCCATCTTGTCGGGAACGTGATGCGACAATGGTAAGATCTTTGGAATGAATGTGGGAAGCAGTGTATCAAATGGAAGAAACCAAAATCTGTGACCTCGTGGAAATCGAAAAGAGAATTTGGATATCAAATTAAATGAATGAGAGAGTTTTTCGATCTCTTGTTTATCAAGATTGAGAAGCAGATATCAAATGAATAAATAACGACGGAAAGGAATGCAATAGAGAGCGTTAAAAGTTAAATAGCAAGAAACCAAAAATCTTCGTATCCTAGAAGTGTAATACAGAAAACGATGAAAGAAAGTCTAGAAACTTTTTTGACTCGTTGTCTTGGTTGTTTGTTGAGGGTGGAGGTTAAAGGTTGGGGATGGAGAGTTGTTGTAGTGGGAACATTTTTTGGAATTGAAATTGCAAGCGGCACAACGTCCATATCTCGGTGAGCGTTTGCCCTAATCGCTCAATTGAGCGATCTAATGGCATTATCACGAACTCGGGAGAAATATGATCCGACTTTCAGTCTTTATTTTCAAATAGTATTCACTGTTGAACCTTTGTGTGTGAACGTATAATGTAGCCTATGTCGTCTGGAGTGTTGTGATCGGGAATGGGGAGATGATGTTCCGAGGTTCTCACGCCGAGTCTAAACTGATGGTCTCTTATGACGGTGTCAATTTATCTGAATTTGCTTATTTCGAAAACCTATACTACCCAGCTGTCAAGCAGTCTCGGGCTAAAAACTGTGTGCTATAGGTGAATGAGAAACGCGCAATTAATCGACTACTAGATTGCCTCAACTTGAAGAATTTATGGCTCCATGTCTCTTCCATGTCTAAGAGAACAACTACTTCATCGACCACTAGGAGCTAGCATCGACAGAGCCCGCCCGCTATACAAGCGTCATCTAGACTTACTTTCCAGATCTGTAGTATGGATTTAAAATATCTTCCTGGCACTCTCTATCCGGCCTCCATAGATATTCTTGCAATCCATTCTTCCTGCCTACAATTGAAGCCGGTGCCATTATTTTGACCTTCAATGGATCAGCCTTCAACGTGGATGAAAGTGGTGAGAGGAGAAAAGAGAAGGAATCAACAAAGAAAGGCATGGTCACTAGACTTATTAGGGCTACCATACGAACAACCATGAGTAACTTACAATCTTCTGTATATGACCCCGTTGTGTAGTCACATCTCCTACCTCGTCAGCTATGCATTCCCAATAGTTGCCCCTTGGGACCAGACTGGAAGTAAAGCCACAGAACGAAATCGAAGAGGGAATTCTCACATCTGAGAAAGATAATAGATTCGAGAAAGTCCGCTTGAATACTGAGTGATGTGAAGTTGCTCACATGCGTCATAAAAATGCCAATGAGCCTCCTAGACGTGAAACAAATTACGCGAGAGAAGATTCAGGCCTCACGCCTGCTCAAACTTCAGAGATTTCGCAGTAAGAGGATGAATCTCGTAATAGAGAATGAGATCCTGAATCAAACCTTCTGGTGATGTAAAAACGGAAGAAGAAGGAATTCGAAGATGCAGAAACTTTTGTACAGGCGAAATACAGATATAAGCTTCCTGTTCAGCGCTGCGCAGGTAGTCTTGAACCTTTTACCAATTCATCACAATGATTAAATCCAGAAGAGACATGGTGTGTCGTCAAATGAAGAACTACATGACCAGTATATACGTTTGCAAGATTCTTCGACATTTAAATGAACTTGCATAGTTATTATGGCACATGGCAACGTACGACACAATTATCATCACTTTTCATTCATGGATCATGCGCCGGACAGTACTACCAACTACCAGGCAAGTATAAATCAGATAACAATGACTATCTGAGCAGCTATTCGAAAGACAATCTTCCAGATTTTGCACGGAGGGTCACGAAAAGAAATTTACAGCGTGCGAAACATTGGCCATTTGCCAAAGGCAGTAGACCGCACTGCAATGAAGGGTCTGGCTAAGGCAAGATTAGGATTGGCATCCCAGATACGTGGAATACATCTAAACGGGCAATCGGGGTTTTCTTGAGTGATCACAGGAGATGTACGATGTGCCAAGGGGACTATATAGAGCTATCATGTTATGCTTTGGAGTTGAACTATCTTTTGTACGCATGAAAGTTGCATAGAAATTAGCCAGACATGTTGTCCATGGATGACATATACCATGAGTGATTTCAGAGCACAGAAAGCAGTACTTCACCATATTTCGTCCGAGATTGAGTCTGTCATCCATTATATTCATTATTTTTCGTAAGAACGAAGACTGAACAGCAATCCCTGAGCCTTCATCGTTGAACCAATGAAAAAAATCGAGAATATTGATTTATCTGATTGGTGATTCCTATTTGGATTCTGGAAAGTGAATCCATGTTTTGTTTTTTTGCTCTTTCGATATTCCGGGCTGAAAATTTACTTGTGCGAATTTGATATTGTTTATTGAATTTGTCACTTGAACTTCCAGGCTTTTTTCTATTCACTAACCGCCTAGCAATCCAGTACAGCGACAACTGGAGCTCCATATGTTGGATAACAATTACGAGTATAATAACTAAATTTCAATACAGGAGGTGTTAAATTAACAAAATTCAATATGTCCCATTCCCAACATCCAGAAGTCAACTAGTATCACGCACAAAATCAATGTGCGCCTTTCTACCTCTTGCGAGAGAGAGATGATAATTTCTACACAAAGAATGCCTCCAGAATGGACTCCAGGCAGCGCAATCTATTTGCAAAGAAATAATCCATGACTGAAGACCTCGATAGTCCGTGGCTTGAATACCTGACTGGTAAGTGGTTGTGACAAGGAGGCGATTTTACTTCTGCTGCATATTGTCATTGATTGAATTCAATGATCAAAGCAAAAGAATTAAATTGAGTATTTTAGAGATTATAGTCGGGCCCGATGGGACGTCACCAGTGAGGTCAGTGGGGATTTCAAGAGTCTACACCAGCAGGATCACACCTCTTCCACGTGGATTCCTCTGGTCATTCTCCATACTCTGTTCGTCTCGCTCTCAACGAGACGCGCACGAAGAATGTAGTTTTTGACACATTTCCCAAGAATCACACCGGCAATTAACTTTCAACGCTTCTTAGAGTCACTTTTTACATAATCGCAAGAGACGGGTAGATGTCCTGCATTGCAGAGCACGATCTCGTTCATAGACGCCAGCACTGCCATTGAAGCCCAACTCACGAAAGCACAACGATTTCACAAGCTTGGTGCGATCATCTAAGTGCAGGCGGGTCTCGTGAGAACCGTTTCGATTTATTGTAAGGGTAGTTTCGATTCCTACAATAAATAAGTTGCAAAAAACGAAACAAAATTGTATCTCGAGCCAGATTCGGATTTTCCAGAGGGTATCTACAGAACCGTAGTCCGGCTAGACATAGTACGGATGAGATTCCGATCCAAACCAGCTTCAATATCTCAACACAGGCAGCGCTTCCTCCCGCATTCGTCCCACCGTCTCAAGGTAGCCGACTAGATCGAAGAACCAGCAGAGGCTAACTAAACGCCCGCGGACCAACAACCTCTTTGGATTGAGGCATATTTATGCAAGTATGGAAATGACTTAGGTTTTGTTCGGCTTTGACTAAATCTTAGGAATACTTTTCCCCAATTCCATGCTCAAGCTTCCAATTGATATCTCGCGGAAACAAGACAATAAGATCCTATAATCGCGTGAACCACTCTTTAAACCACAATCTTCTGCCGTGCAACTTCTTCCACACATAAGGTCGAAGATTCTTTTCATTGTTCACAATAGAATCGTACATTGGAATGTTTCTGAGACGTGTGATAAGTATTATTCTAGCAGAAAGTATTGATTGGTATGATAATGTGCATAGCGGCCAACTCAAATTTACTCCATGCCTGAAATCTATTTCCCCTTCAGATTGCAATGCGTCAGAGTAGTAGTATGCGGTATCTTCCAATGCCAGAAAACCCCGCTTTTTTCCCTTACACATCTCTAGTATTTGCATCACTTGTACTCTTTAATTCCACCTCCTCGGCCTTAGCATCCAAACTATTAAGCTCATCCTCCTGGTCATCAAGCTTATGATAACAAATCCAAAACACAATACCCGCTCCAAAACTTCCGCAAGCCAATCCCACAAACATCCACAAAATCGTCGGATTGCCCACTAACGGGATGAACGCTTGACAAATCGCGAATCCAAAAGCATTGGTCAGTAAGAACATAGCTTGGACGAAAGACTTCATCGAAGCGGGTGCTTTAGTATATGCATATTCGAGACCGGTAACCGACGCAAAGATTTCAGATATACCGATTAATACGTAGGCCGGGATTTGAATTGCAAAATGCACGTTGTTAGGTTGGATTGTTCCGTCTGGGAGGATAGCGGCAGGACATTCGAGAGGTTTGCCGTAACATGGACCAGCTTTGTAGATGAGGTGCTGCACGATGGCCGCATACATCATGCTGAAACTAGCGACGATGAAACCGAATGTGATACGGGTCATGGGTCGAAATTTGATGTGCCACTTGCGCAAGAGTGGGTAAACTAGACGATCCATTACTGGTACGAGGAGAATGATAGCAATAGGATCGAAGTTTTGGGAAAGATCGTTGGGAACACCGTGAGTATTCATTTCTCCGGCTTGAGAAACGAAGTTACTGGAGAATTGAGCATAGACAACCCAGTAGATAGGGTAGAAGACGAATACGCGGCAAGCTACCAATGCGCGCTTGACTTCATCGACGAACTGTTCATTCCATGGAGTAGTTTGTGGGAGGTTGTTTGCTGCGCGGTAAGAAGGTTTCGCAGCGTTTAGATTTCGGTGTTTAATCATTTGCCCAATGATCTTGAACGCATCGGTGATGACTGTTCCCTTGGGTGGGCGAACAATATATCGCTTCCTTCCCACAAGCAATGTGACGAAACCAACCATGAATACACACAAACACATAAGGTACGCGGACCAAAAGCCAACATCTCGTTCCATGTAAGGTGTTGCGAGAAGGGAAAGAGACCCGATATTGATGCACCAATAAAAGATTAGATAAATTCGTTGAATGGTAACGGCAGGATCAATAATAACACGTTCACCAGTTTCAAGAACTTTTATTGCCATACGTTTTCGGGTGTATTGATCGGCAATTAGAGGACTGACGTTGGATTTGATACCTCCGGTTCCAACACCAATGATAAGAATGGCTGCGATGTACCCTCCCAACCCAGCCCCGTTTCGAAGAGAAACTGGTAGAGATGTCAAGACAAGAACTAGTAGGCCAACCATATAGACGACTGCAAAATAGCAAATGGCTTTGAATCGACCGAGGTACTGATCGGCAACAATGGCACCAAAGATTGGTGTGACTGGTAAGAACATGAGCAATCATACAGCAACAGCTAAGATCAGTATAACTTACAGTAACACCACATTGAGAAGAAGACAGTAAGAGCTGTTGCAGTTTGATGCCCGAGACCTATAAAGTTAATGAACGGTCACAGGTCTAAGGGATTGAATTCTTACCGAGAGCACCACGACCCAGAGAACCATCCAGTGGACGTTGAACATAATTTTGAAATAGTCCCACACAGCCATAGTATGAGAATCTCTCACAAAGTTCCACGATAGCGACAAGCCAAGCGGACATGGGTAAATTATCACCAACTAAAGTATTGTCAGCTTTTTAGTGACCTATGATGTGACGCGGTTATTATCCCACTTCGTCGTAGCGTCTTTTTCTCCTCATCAGTGGGTTCTTCTTCATCGGCATCGGTCCCTTTTTCGAAGCTATTTACTCTTGAATCTGCGGTTGGAGATATTCTCTCTTTGGCACTCTCTGGACGGGCTGGATTCGCAGCAATGGTGTCGTCGCTCATTTTTGAACTAGTCGCACCCTGACTCTGCTTCTCCATTCTGGGTGGTTAATTAGCATTCAATCGCTCATAATTTGGCAAATGTGTTCTTACTGATTGCCCGACATTTGGGATCGTTTTTCGTGAATTGAGATGAAAGCATGAGTGCGGGGGATCAACAAGTTAAGTAGATTACTGACTAGATTGTTGTTGATGTCATTGAGTCAGAACACATGCATCAGCCGTAAACATTGGAGGAAAAAATAACCTTATAATTAGCATGCACGTTAGAGCTAAGCTCATGACATATGCAATCAGTATAAGAGCGAGGCCTGAAAGCTAGGACCGCTGTCAACGCTGGTTTGAGATATAATATACGAAGCCATCAATTGAGCTACCGCAACTAGTAACAAACATATGAAGGTTAATGAGAATGCGAACTATGCAGGAACAGCCCAGTCCCAAGTCGGCTCCTAATTTATGAGTTGCTTCAAAGATATTAAACTCCAATGAGACGATTTTCAGCTCATTCATTAAGAATGGGAGGTATAATCTGAGTATACCAAATAGCGAAGACAGGATCTCGTTACAGAAATTTGATGTGAAAATAAACGTCGCAGCACAATAAAACACAAAAAGAGAGCAATAGCCTTTGGACTAGCCGAGCTTCACCGAAACTCAATGACGTTCTACCGGATACGAAGATTATGCCGGTACATCCGCCCTTATTCCCCATTGCTCCATCCCTGAATATCCCTAAGCATATCATCGTGTAAGTTCTAATCACACGTTGCTTTCACCCTAGCCTACATAGCGTGAAGACTAGTCTGTACCCCGCCAGCACTAGCTATGTTTTAGCTATTTTGTTCGCTGAGTGACTTTACCAAGGCAATGGCGATAATTGATTGAAGGATACGGCCCATTAGAAGGGCATGATCTTTATCTATACACTGTAGATCCGGTGGGGTAACGGGCTCGACGAGTTGTAAAAGATGTGCGCCATGATGAACACCGATGTTTAGCCTTTGGACTAGTTCGGAGACATGGTTGATACGAAGAGTGCAAATAATGAATAGGATATGCGATCTGCAATTCCAAGCCCAAGAACTTCATAAGTGAGGGACTGAGTGTTGAGTAGTGCAGATAAGGTTTTGATGCCAAGAATGACGATCATGGCAGAATTTGCTTTGGGCAGCGGTGTAGTCTTGAGAAACTTTTCATCACAACCAATAATTCCAGGAGATCTTCAAGGAAGTAAAACATCGTTCATAATTTGATGAAACATAGAATGAAAGAGACAAACCATCTTATCCATGAGCATGAATAATAAATAAATCAGCGTGCTCAGGAATGCTCTGATTCCCTGCTCGAAAGATTTCAAAAAGAGAAATAAATGCGAACCCCAATTCGAGACTAATTTGAACCTTTTGGCAGATTGCACAGATAAAAGAAGTCAAGGAACCAACAGTTGGCGAAGCTACAACCGCCTTTTGGAATGCCAAAACCAGAGCACTGTGGCTGTTTCTGGAGTAATATCGATGCCATTCTCCTGGTTGTGTAGGCTTATATGTTGCTGATATCTAATGTTAAGAGCTTTGGTCTTAGAGACAGCAGATGCAAGTGTTGAGTGCTTGCCTTTGATAATTATGTATACAAGCGTACGCAACGGCATAAACTCAATAACGCCTCACAGCCAATTTGGGACTGACAGCCAGAGTGTTTGCACACGAACATGAAAACTGGTGCAGGCCGATTTCCTCCCCGCATCAAACAAACAAATGGTCTAAATGACCAGGAGTCAACAAACTTAACTTGCAATAATTATTGTTTTCTCAGGATTAACTACCATTCGTAGGCCTCTTGCCGACATAAATCAAGTCTATGTCTGATAGTTGACGAAGAGCACCAGAAGACATGAATCTCTGCAGAGGTATGACGGGGTCGATATCCTCGCGTCGTTTGTTGACAGGAAGTTTCATAATGACCTCTTGTGGTCACTAAGGAGAAGTAAGATCTGGTCGAGATGCTCAGTTTGCTTCTTCCCGTTTTTTTGTCTTATTGGGTATCATTGGAGATATCTGTTCAGGAAACGTAAGACCCGGGCCTTTGCTCAGAATAATCTCAAAAATTTCCAATATCACATCCACAGCGAGCTCTTCTGTTCCTTTCTTTTGACGAGTATTTCTAATTGTGCTGAATAAAGAGGCAACAAAAATGATCAGGTATTAAACTAAATATAGAAAGAAAAAACATGAGGCTAATATCGATTCAAAGTCGTACTTGAATGATGAAAGTGGGTGATAGAAACGAAAGAAAAATCGAAGACGAGACTGGCCGATCGTACCTACCACAATGAGTGAACAAAATCAACAACGTTGCAATAAAATAATTGACAACACATAGTTCCAACTCAACAAACTTCAATCTTAGGATCACATTATCTCCACAAAATGGTATACCGTTCACGACTTCCCAAGACCATTGATCTCCTACGTCAGGAAGGCCGATATGATGAGCGAAGGTCTCGAAGAGAATCCCAAAGATACTGATCAGAAATACGTGCCGAATTTCATAATTTATTTACTTATGATCTGCAACACGAAATGTTAGAGCGCTTCATTTTCTTCAAAAACTGTAAGCCAATCATCTTTTCTTGCAATGACTACATGATTGGATTTTACATCTCTTTTAGTCGGTCATGGTTCTCATTTCCCTGGGGACATGAGAATATTCCACTTGATTATGCTTCCAGACCTTGCTGAAGGAGATCACCCGCTTCCTTCCCTCAATGGCAACTTTATTTTATATGGAATGTCTCAAAATTCGCCATTTAAGACCATTTTTACTCAGATGCAATTTAGAGAGAGGCGGTTTTATCGAAGCGCCATACCAATTCAAGATGATGACGGTCCCACTGCCGAATTGCTGAGAGCAATTTCTGGAGCGGAAGATAATACCATTTGTCGCATTTGTCGCAAATGATATTCTGATGCCCAGCCTTCAGCCTCATTCGTTCCGAACTGTGGACACTCCTTCCATCTGGGTTGTATGGTGCAATTGATTAACTTTTATTTTAATGAAATGGATGAAATGAGAGATAGGTGCAGTTTCTGTTGTAGAAAATACACCAAAATCCTTTCTCATCTCTATGGCGAGGTAACTCCACCTCAAGAAGGCGAAGATTTCTGGCGCAATGACAATGGACCGTTGATAAATGATACAATTCCGACACTAGCAAATACGCCGCCTCTTACCACGTCGGAAGAAACTTCATCACCGGATTTACTATTGAACGATAATCGTTCACATAGCACCATGGCTCTTCCCGGACAAGAGGTCCATAACCACCAGACTGAGTCGCAGGACTAGCAGGGGAAGAGATAAATTTCCAACGATCTCTGCATCTATTGATGCCTGTAAAGTTTTAACGAGCAAATGTTGGTGTTCAAACCTGGTGTGCATGATACTATCCAGATGAGGGGAATTCGATACGAAATTAGCGACCATCAAACATTGTTTCTTGGTAGCATTGGACAGCGAAATTAAATCATTTTTTCCAAACTTCAAATTTCGCGTTCCATAATATCAATTTAAAAGTTTTCCAGTATTTGCCATCTGTCGAATATCAAAATTCTACATACAGACAAGTGTTCTTACACCCAAGTTTTTGCACTGCAATTGCGACTAGTATACACTCTCCGTGTACAGCCAGTGCTGGAAACGAGCGGAACCCAGCCAGTTTGTCTGGCAGTAAATTAGAAGCTCCACCATGATAGTAAGCAATTTTGCCGCAGTATTTTCAGCAATGGCTTTCAAATTGGATGTACTATCATCTAGGTTAGGAGGGGCATATCTGTCAGGTATGTTCGTCATACTGTCATCTTCAATGGTTCCATCGTTGCCTTGATTGCTATAGCTTTTCATCTGGTTTGAGCATGCCCAGATCGATATATTTGGGCTTGTTTTGGCAATCACAGCACTTGAATATGCTTTCTGGGCGTAATTTATCCTGACATGGCTAGCAAGCGCTAAATGATTGTCATTTGTTGCTATCGTATGACGGAGAATCAAGTGCTGCATCGTAATTTGCCTCACGTCTGTCATATTTGCGGCTTTGGCAATTCTTCATACAGTGATGCCTGATTTCTTTAAGAAGCACATATGAACAGCTTCTCATCACGAATGTTCTGGCAATGATACATTTTAAAGACGCTCCTGGTTTTTTCCATAGGTAAGGATTCAACTTGATTACGTCTGGTCATCGAATTCAACTGGAATGCCTTCATAAAAGAGCTCTCATCAAGATTTTACTCGCGTGCCTACTATTTTGCTCTAGATTTGGAAGTTGACGCCGAAATCATTCTCCTAGCTTGCAATGAGTGAGTCAGTTTTGTCAAGTTTATCAGCTTTATCCTGGTGGAATTGATAGGTTTTCTGTGAAGTTTTCTGCATTATCTATGAAATTGATTCTCTATTCATACAAAAGTTAGAGATGGGCTAATAACTCATTGACCAGTATGATTTCGATACTCTGGTACTGTATTTTCGTTTTGAAAATTGCGATGTTACTGCTAATGCTTTTACTTGCCTTTGTCAGGGTTCTGAGCTTTCCAGTAATGCGTAATTTTTCAGAGTTTTCTATGACCAGCGGTTTGCTGAATGTCTGTCTAAATATAAGAATGATCTTTTCTATCTAAACTTGGAGATTTCCTCTAATCATACCACGAACTAGCTTAACTCTCTGTCAAGATCATCTGAGACTTCAAAAGCTCGTTGTCAATGACTGACTTCAATGTACCAGTCTACTTGATAAATCTCATATACTAAAGTTAGAATATTGCTGGTGGTTGAATTACACTGCAATGCATCCTGGAATAAATGGGCATTTGATTCACAAAAATTCACCAATCGCTTCATATCGGAGGCGCATTTTTTGTAAGTTAGATAGCAATTAGTAAATAAACTGGGGTTGTATTGTGATTCTCTCACTTTTAAGTGAACGAAAGAAATTTAACTAAGTATATGTTTTTAGAATGGATCGGAGTATGTTCGGCCCACAGCTGCTGTGTTAGAGATTTAATTGTATTGTTAGATCTTGTTTCTTGCTGCAATGAAAACAACTATCAATCAGCTTTCTTTGAATATCTTTTGAGTTTACTGTACATTGAGCACAAACAACCAAGTTCAGCCTATAATTAGCCATGAATAATCAAATCCACCTCCGACAAGATATCATAAGAGAAGATACGAGAACAGCACGTGGATTCACAGCCTGGTCGACTATCCAAGAAAGCTTACAGTCAACGAGCGGTTAAGAATTACCCACACCATTCCTGCTATTCTTTCAGAATCTAGATATCACACGGTAGAAGAGCTAGAGAAAGCTGGCTACCACTTCATGAAGGGTGGCGAGAAGCACCAATTCGAAGCACACCATACGGATAAACCTCCCACCCGCTTTACAAGCCATCTCAGACTTAGCGAGATAGAGCTAGCGCAATGTGGTCTTCTGGAGGAACTTGGCAAGCTTCGTGAGATTGCTCCTCATCCAGACTTTCAGACTGGCTTGGCAGCGACGATGAAACGGAAATACAGCTACTACCAAAATAAGAAGGGAATACAAGATGAAGTTGGAGTCAAGAGACTTCAGCTGGCAGAGATTCTGCGTCGTGATACAGACGACTCGAAGAAGTATTTCTTTCATAGAGCTCTCAGTCTAGGCCAGAAGCTGCTTGATATCTCGATTCCTGGGTACGAGAATACCCACTCTTTTCAAGATATTGAATGGCGTCGAAACACCGCGATGACCTTCAACGAGGAGTCAAATACGACGCTTAACTCTATCCAACTCAATTATACCCAGCAAGGAACAGCCATCGCAGACGCTTTAAAGGGAAAAGCGCATCTGCATTGCGATAAAGACATATCCTTCTCGCGACATGGCCATCAAGAAAATCGCGTTGGTTGCTACCGGATCTTGTGAGCAACTTACTGATCTGAAGAAAGACGTATCACAGGCATATGATGGTTTTGGTGACTACAAAGGAGACACAGTTTTCACGGAACTGGATTCTCCTCGTGCGTTTGATACAGCTGTAGATACTGTTCCTGCAAATCCTGGCTGGGTACCTAACTCTGATCGGTAACCTACTCCTCTTGCAGAGAAGACTGAAGAATGAGTTATTGAAGGGTAGACGTCCCGTGTAATGATATTAAGGGGAAAATGCCAACAGATAAAACTCGTTTTGTGCTCTCGGTTACTGTCGGGATATCGATCATGTGATCATAAAGAGGGCACTGTATTAGCTAGCGAGGCGGCTAGCGCTTTCTTATACAAGTACCAGCTTCCCATAGATAATAATGATTAAGAACAATTACAACCATAATAGACTAAAGTACTTTACGCTTATCAACCAAGTTGATACTAACAGTTACAGATTCTACGGGTTATTTTGAGTTCTACTCAAGACATTGCATGTAAAATACCCACGATTAATGATTATTTGACTTGTTTGACCTCCGATTTGCTGATTCTATGTTTCAGCGTTATAACAAAATCAATCACATATAGACAGGCATAAGGATTATTCTTCAAACGCATCTGGATTCTATAAAAGCTCTTCGGTCACCAATACAGTCATGAATTATCCCCCGAATTACTCATATTTAGTTTCAACTGTGCCTAATTTCAAGGAACTATTACCAATTCTCGACCCAGCATCAAATAGAATGAAGGGGTAATGGAAGTTAAATTTAATAGGGTGAATCTATGGAAATTTGTATACTTTCTTGCATACTAATCTGTGAGTAGACCGGAGCAAGCTATATGATTCAATTGCCCCATGTGACAAGGAGGCTGTTGTATTGATATGTTCAACGCCACAACATTCACTTTTCGTTTTTGTTTGCCAGGGATTCCTCGATACACAGATGATTAATGTTTAAGAACTTCGATCGGCCTTGAATAATTTGAGAATTTTACATACAGGATATAGCACCATGGACCAATTACGCCCCTTTACTACTAGTTTCCACGACGACGTCAAATACAATGGCTCTGGATACTGGCTACACACAATTGACGCGAAGTTGAGGGGCCCTAAACTAGCAAAATTGTCTTCCACAATCCCTCCAGAGCTGGACGTAGGTAGACAACATACCGACGAGGAACTTAACGATATTGGCTATATTCGACTAGAGCCAGGTGTTTGCCATTTTGTAGCAGCTCCCAATGCTCCTGATGGCAAGCGATTCGACCACGCATATCTATCTGCAGTCGAGATTGAGAAAGCTGGTCTTCTCGACCGCCTAGTTAAAGTTCGAGAAAAGATGCTGCATCGCGACTTTCAGCCGAAGCTACATACCACGATGGCGAAGGTACGGAGCCGTAAATTTATGGAAGATCGTGCAAAGATTTACGAGCTCGGAATCACGGTGCAAAAGCGTACAGGCCGACACAGTATTCAGAACGGAGTCATACTTCGAGACTATGCTGACAGAGATAATCGAGATTTGACAGTAGAGCTCACAAGCATTGCGAATGCCTTACTCGAGACCTATGCTCCTGGGATGAAAGATGAATTTCGAGCGAAGCGTTGACTACAACGTCCTCCTCTCACGATTGGTGCTGACGAAAACAACACCATCACAAGTATACAAGTAAATTATCTCGAGATAGATGAAGGTATGGATGGACTTCGAAAGTTTGGACAAGGCCACATCGACGAGCGAGATCATCCCAATATGTTTACTGTGCTCTTCTTCCTCGGAAACCCACCTCCTGATTACCACGTGGGAAATTTTGCACTACTAGGAGAGAGAACTGTATGTCCAACTGCACCCTTGTCAGCTCTTGTGTTCTCTGGGAAAAGATGGAATGCTGGTATTGCTCCTAGACGCTACGATGCCGATACACCAGCATCACTACGCTACGTATCGCCAGTACAAATTCCGGAGTTGCCAGCAGGGACTCCTCTCATGCGCTTGTCTGTCGTTGCTTATCCTAATAGAAGGATGACTGATGTACATCCACAAGAACTTGGGTACGAACTCTTTACGTCTGCTGGCAGCGCCTGTTTTCAAAGCCAGAAGAAGTATCAGGAGTGGAGGATGTCCTATTATATTGCGCATGAGCGGGCTATGGTAGCACTAGAGGCTTTGGAGAATCGGGAAAAACTGAGCGAGAAAGCACCCAAGAGAAAGGGCAATGGAAGGGATCGGTATGTCCAGCTAGATACTACCGGTATCGTACGACATACACTACCATCGTACTTTGTCAACAAGTTTCAATGGCGCGACGAACTAACTGGCCAAGTGATGTTCCCATCCACACAACTGGCAATTGACACAATTGCACATATCGGGCATCCTAATGAAGAATGGGACAATCTTTCTAAGGATATGGCACACGTTAGCCTTGGTGGCAAAGCACCTGGAAAGAGGAAGCCTTCGGAAAGGAAGATGCTGGAGGCTGGAACGTTTGAAGGATCCAAGAGACTCAAATCAAATGAAAGCGCAAATGAAATGAAGAGTGCTGAGTACCAGCTGGAAGAAAGAGTTGGTATGGTCGAGGAGGAATTCTATCGATGGGAAGAACCTTTGATTGAGCAGGATAATGGTGATGGCATGGACCACCAAGAGCCAGCTTGGGAGAGGTTTAGAATTAGAGACTGGGAATCATTTGAGGCTCCGTGATTAATGGGTTTAATTTTTCAGGAAATGCTGCCTCACTAATACTTATTTGAATAGAGAATAAAATGTGAAGATTATGTTCAACAGAGGCACGTAGACAAACACAACCTGCGAGAATGAAGATTCATGATACCTAGTTATAGTGACAACGCGAGCTGCAGTAGTTATAAAAGGGTATTCTATACATTTCTTGGAATAACTATTCCTCAACAAAAGCACTCAACTTCTTTTCATTATAACAGTCTTCCTCGATCAATTTCTCCCATTTCTGCATCACATGAGCTAAGGGTAAGCAATCAAGGACCAGAAGCAACTCACCTCCCCAGTAATCTTCACCACAGTAGGCAATCTATCAATACCCCATGGCTCATCTCTCCAAAGACTTTTCTTTCCCGGTGATAAATCTCTCCATCTAAGAAGATAGTTCCATTAGCTTTCCATTCTCACCACATCATATACACCAGCGACCCCAGAGTCTCTTCGGGTAAAGCTTCCGGGTAACGGTAACATACTCAGCCTGAGATCCACCATAGATAAGCTTAACCCTATTCTCCTTTGCAGCCATCTGAAGCTTCTCAGTCAAGGGACTTTCCGCACTTCGACAATCTCCACACCAAGATTCGTTTGTCTCAGGCTTGAGGGAGGCGAAAAAAATCACATATTGTGGTTTGGTAGATCCGCTGAGACTCTTTTGAAGGACCTCTGGAGAATCAGTGAAGATGGGGAATGAAAGAGGCATTATGGTGAAGGTGGATAGAGTTCTGTAGATTTGGTGGTGTCGTTGGAAATGGATGAGACGGAAAAAGAAAAAACAGGTGTAGGGGAAGGTGGGGTTTTAGCCGAGGTAAACCCGTCGTTTCGTGGGGAAGACTACTGTCCATGCAAATGCAGCTGTTCACAGATAAATTGCAGAACAACTGAAGATGTCCCAACTGAAGATGTCCCAACTGGAGCGTATCAATGCTGGGCAGTTAGAATTTTTCTTTGAAGGATTCTTGGAGAACAAATATCTTTTGTCTGCAGTCCTTCTCGTCTGCACCAACAACAATCGATTCCGCCGTCAGTCGGCGGTCACGTCCAGGGCTTGGCTTCTCTTACTTTACTTGGCCTCCCACTCATCATAGCAGCTTGTTTTTGAAAGATGAGGTCAAATTTGAGTAGACTTGGAAGAACCGAAGATGTACCTTCTCGGCTGGAGAAAGAGTATTGAGGTCTGGTTCTTAGTGGGAGAATTGAGGTGGAGTGTTGGGTACATGAAGACTTCGAGAAGATGAATATTATTTGCTTAAGATTATTCATCCCGGGGCTGGAGCATCGGTTTGGATATGGTACTCTTTCCTGAGTTCGTTAGCTCGCACTTCCCGTCCTATTCTCCGTAATGTACAACAAAATCCTTTGCTAATACAGGTTTCGAGCAAATACTCACCCCCAATTCTGTAACATATCGTGAAAAGATATTTGTCTGGATGACTTCAGCATTTATCGTAGTCTTTCTTCTTGCAAAGAATTGACACTAAAACTTTGTCTGCATAAAGTGCTATTTCCAGTTTCTGTGACTCGCTTCCCATTATCATTTTTTGTTTGTTCAAAAGATTCGGGGTCTCAACCCCTGATTTTTGAGCCAAGTCCATAAAACGAGGAATGGCACTGTGCAGCCTGGCAAAATGCATGAGATTCTGCCTGTATAAAAAATCGTTTTTCCGAATTCTTTCTCGTTGATTGTAAATACTTTTTTTAAAAGAGTGCAAGCTTCGTAGAGATTTCCCCTTTTGCCTAGAACAGATCTTGCCATCTCATGATAAACTATTGCAAGAGTTTGTAAAAGCCTACATTCACACCAAGTACTCAATTGGGGACCCGGCAAAGAATCTAAAGCTTCAGTCGATCGGTCGATATCCTCTTGGGATCGAGAGGACTTTGTCAACACCGCCGAGAGGCCACAGACACTTTCAAGCCATAAGATTTGATCATATCTCATGGAGGAAAGTAAAATTCTCTTAACAAGTAGTTCTGACCCATCAAATTTGCCGCGTAACGTGAAAAATAAAGCCAAAATGTAACCAATTTTTCTGTATCTGAAAGTCCCAAGAGCCTGTAACCCAGAGACAAATTCCTCGCAATTAAGAAAACAGGATTCCATTTGTTCCGGAATGGATGTAGCCAAGAACAAATGGTCTGCGTAACACGGGAGATAGCTGGTAAGCAGGCCAACGTTTGAATAGATAGGCATATAAATAGCTTCCAATGCAAGATCCTACCTTTCGATTCGAGACTGACGATGTAAAGCCCACTTTCGGGTCATAGGATGAAACGAATAGACTACTCCTCGTGACGACACTGAATTTGATTGAAACAAACTGAGACCTCGGAGCTCGGTAATCACTGTTGAAAAAGTAAAACTGTTCCACTCATGTGTCTCGTGGTCCTGGAAAATACTAATCCATGAGGTCGTCTCAAAAAACTGGCGAAAGGTAGACTTTCCTATGCAATTGCCAGTGAAAAGGGCGCCGAGGAGAAGAAAGTGTCTCTTGGTCTCAATAATCACTTTAGAACCAGAGATGCGATTGTAAGGTATCTCCCATGTAGTGGATATAGTGAGAGCTATTTCTTGATCAGGGGCCACTGGGTCCAGTCTGTTGTACTTCTTCAGGAGTAGAGACCCAGCCATAATAGTTTCTTGTTACTTATTGAAATACTCAATAAATAGACTGGGGTCGATTCCTGTAGAATTGATGTATGCGCCGGCTTGATCCACCGCTAATGCCAAGTATGAAAGATGGCAATATATCTTGCGGGCATCTTCTATATTGGCATGCGGAGGGAAGAGTGAATTCATAGCTTCTTCCTCAAGTAGATCGTCACTGGGCTTAGGGTAGCCAAGATCATTGGCTGCTGGATGACGACCTGTTATGATGACAAGACCAAAATCGCTCTGCGGAAGATATTTGGTGATGTCGTAATCTGCAGGATCATCGAAGTTGTCAAAGACGAGAAGTTACAGCTCTTTCCACGATTCAATTTGATTACGCACTAGAGCTGGAAGAGATACTATACTAAATTCATCCACGAATTTCCAATGATTGAGTCTGCCATTCTACTGAAGCTTTGTTCGACTGATTTCTTGGCGGTGCCATCAATCCACAGCACAGCATTAAAGTCGTCCTGCCTTCTCCAGCGCACAACCGTCACCATCTATCTCGATCACTAGACCTAACATCGCCACTATCACCACGGGAGTTTGTTGAATACAAAAAAAATAAACAATCGTTCGTATCTCCTAATGCTTACTATCACCAAACCTCGTCCCCATTCATCCTCCCTTCTTTTCCTCACGACCACACTAGCACTAGCACTAGTACAGCTACTGCCCTTTCATCGCCTTCATCAACTTTACTCTCCACTCTACACCCAATTTCCATTCCAAACTTCTACCCCCAGCCTACGATCATCCAGATTATCATCATCATCATCATCTTCTCCACCGTCATCAATGCACAATGGCCACTATCGCCGCCACCAAACCCATCCCTAGCACTCATATCAAATGCAAAGTAAGACACAAACTTCCGTATTGACAAATACCTACGGTTACTAGACTCTTACACCAAAGACCTCATAACCACTAAACAAAATCTACGCAAAAACACCATCATCAAGATCTATATCAAATCCCCATCGTTATGATATGCTAGGGAAACATCACGATCGTTCCCTAGCATACCACAATCATCACACTAGTCACCAAAGCCCTTATAGCCACTACAAAAAAAACCCATCATCACCCCCCCCCCCCCCCCCCCCCCCTTGTTATCTCCTTGCTAACATCAAATCCTGAAAACCCATCACAACCATTGCACAAGAACTGCACGAAAACACCATCATCCAAAACGCCATCATCATCGCTATCATCAAGCCACTCACTTCCACTCCATCCATCCCATCCCATCCATCCCATCCCATCCATCCCGTCCATCCCATCCCATCCTACACAACCTCCCCCAACATCACAACAAAACCCAAAACAAAAACAAAAACAAAAACCAGTACTCAAACATATCCACACCAAAGTTTAAAGTCCACTTGAATTCTACGCTTTGATATCTATTCTCGTTCTGACTCCAGTTCCATCTACTGAAGAGCTGGAATGACATAATGTGACATAATATGATTTGATCGGATTCGATGTGCTATGTTTGAAGCTGGCATGCTATCAATTGACGTGACATGATACGACATGATTTGCTTCAATCTTCCGCCATCTCCTCCACTCTCCTTCAATTTACTCCAATCCACTCCAATCTACTTCAAACTCAAATTCCAATTCAGACATAAGCTCATGCTCCCAACTCATCACCATACCCACTACCATGAAGGCAACCCACCATACTCACTACCATGAAGACAACCCTACAACAATAACCCACCATGAAATAACAAATAACAAATAAAACAGGGTATTCGTCCACTCAGAGGCCCCAAAAATCAATAAATATCAAAATTCATTTACATGCCCAATTACCTAGACACCATGCTCACCACTCATCACATATACAAATTTATAGCGAAAAAGAAGAAAAAAAACAGTAATCAAGAAGAAGATACTCTGAAACCTAAACCTGATTGATATCATAAGTCAACCTAAATAAGTAATAGCCGAGCTGAAAACTGCGCTCCGAAAATAATATTGCAATGGATGCCCAAATACGCCAGCATGCTACCAACGCGTTCATATATCAAAATACCTCCCTCAAACAATTCAGTTCTCTCCTCATTCTCTGACATCCCATTTCCCTTCCACTTCCAAAAAATTAGATAGCCATTTTATCCAAGATTTTCATCACCCCCTTACCCTTATTTCCCCCATCATCCAGCTCCTCGATCAACTTCTTAACTCTCTCACTCAAGGTAACCAGAACCTTTCGACAGTATTCGAAACTTCCTGTTTGTTCCATATAAGCCACTGCGTATTTCTTAACCTGTTCATCATCTGGTTTCTGTTTCAGGATATTGAGAAGCACGAGATTATCGGGAGCGGCGCGAATGGAATGGATGATTGGGAAAGAGAATTTGCCTTCTGTTAAATCCTCACACAGGCCCTTATTTTGCGAGTATTCGGGCGACGAAAGATTTTGATAATCGTCGCGGATTTGGAAAATGATGCCGATGAGGTTGACTAATGGGACACAATCCCTAGGCAGGGGTTAGCATGTTTCTGTTGATCGGTGGGGGCGGGGTACCCTATCTACCTTGAGGTTTTACTCTCAGCTTGCATGAGCTTGACAGCGAGTCTGAAGAGCCCACCGGTTTTATTACCAACCATTTCCAAATAATCGTCTTCGGTGGGACAAGTCAAACTATCTCTCCAAAATAAATCCATGCCCTGACCCCGATGAAGATTTAATAACTCCTCTGTATAAATCGTGATAGCTTGTGGATTGTTGAGTTTCTGGAGTTCTTGCAATGCGCAAAAGTATACATAATTTGCGGAATTGATCGTTTGCGCCGTGCCAAAAATGCTATGTGCGACAGGTAATCCGCGTCGCAGTAATGATGAATCTTCAACATCATCGACGAGTAAGGATGCTGTGTGCAACATTCCCACGACTTTGGTAATGACCTTTAAACTCTCCGGCGGTACCTCCAACCATTCATTGAATGCGGCGATCAATTGTTTTCTGATATCTTTTCCTGGATGTGCCTCCAAATAATCGTATGGACCGAACAATATCTTTTCCTTTTCTGGAGCCCAAGAACTCCTTCCATGAAATGCCATATCGTTTTTTGTATATTTATTTGGATCTGGAGCCGAGCCTCCTTGAATTGAAGGATTCATGGCTCCCGAAGATTGAGAAGATTGTGCGGTATGCATACTACTTCTCTGACTGATCCAATCGCCTTCAGGGACGGGACGTAGGACTGATTTCGAAGCTGAATGATTGATGTTATTTTGACCGTTGGAAGAAGTTCGTGGAGGGATCGCGTTGGGAGAAGGAAAGTTTTCGGAAACCATAATGGAAGGGCCTCTAGTTGGAAGAAGTCGCTGAAACATTTGGGTCTTGCTTTATTTCACTCTTTGAATTGATAGGCGGGGTGAACAAGAATGTGATAAACTGATGCGTAACCCTTGCATGGATTTACGGCGATGAAGAAGGGAATTTGTAATGGAGTTTCCTATTTCTGATTATTTTGATCCATTTACTAACACAGATGGAGATGGAGATGGAGATAGATAGATAGCATGCACGCGCCGTAACTGCAAGTAAGATAGATACCTAGGTAAGTAAGATTGATATATGTTGGGCAGTCAGCAGAATGTAACGGTGACTTTATAGTTTACCATTTGTTTATCATTTACCCCAACTCATGCTTAACATGATTAGTTATGGTCGTGCAAAAGGCCGGGAGCTTTAGAATATCTTCACGTGTTGAATAACAGACTTTCCGCAGATGTGTGTGAGAGTGAGAGTGGTTGTGGTAGTAACAGCAGAGTAGTAGTGGCTGTGTGGTATGTTCGTCTGATCGTGTGAGAATACAGATATACCATACCTAGGTCCTAGGTACAAGTGTGTTGATGAACATGCCATATGGAAAGAGATGAGGCTGAAGATGGCCATTTTCTCCTTCCTTTCTTCTTCTTCCTTTCTCTATAAAAAGAAAAGGCTGTGTGGACCTTGATACCTAGGTGTATATATATATCTCTCTCTCTTGATAATAGGTACTAGGTAGATATAAAGCATCTAGAGACGAAATAGGTTCATATAAATATATTGTTATTGCGTCATGTATATTTCCGAATCATGATAATAATAAACAATAATAAACAATAATAATAAACTAATAATAAAATAACCCAAATCAACAAACTTCAATAAGAAAGAAAGGGAAATACCCACAGACAAACTCACTCGAACCACTGTCTGTCAATGCACTCTTCACTCAATATCAAGCAGCGAATACCGCAAGCTATCCTCCATTTCGCTACCCACTACCCAGTATCTTCCCTGAAAGCCTTCCCGTCGCTTGGATTCGTTGCCCTGAGAACGATTATACCCCGAAACCATTATACCAAACACCAAAATTTGTCTGTGATTCAAACTGTGCTTCTTACAAAATTTCTAAAATAAGATAGATATCTACCTTCTTTCTTTCCCATACATTCTCTTCATTTTCCTGTATTAACATATTCAGATATATCAACATTTGTTCCTTCTTTCCAATTGTACAATTCAATTCATTCGTTGCGATTTTGCGCAATCAATCAATCTTTCAAGAATCAGATAACGTTAACAAAAAATTCAATTCATTCATTCATACATACACGCCAACCAATCCACGCATTCAAGAACACGAACACGAACACCAAAAATTAAACAATGGAAGCATTACTTTCTCTCTCTTTCGATAATCTTTCTTCATATGATGCTTCCAAAATTCGCAAAGGTCTCCGACAGGTCGAAGGACTATTAGCACAAATTTGTCTATCCAATTCTCCCAGATCCAATGTCGATAAACGCCGTTCAGTGATTGATCCGGGAAAAGAACCTCCTCCACGAAAAGCTCTGAGTGAACTCCCTAATGATGCCGCGTTTCGAGAGTTCTTTCGATTACAGGAGGGTTTCGAATGGAATGTTGCTATGCGATTGGTTACTTGCTTGGATAGATTGATGGGAAAGACTAATGATGGACAAAGTGATTTGTTAATAATTCAAACCTTGGAATTGATCCAGGGGGTTCTCTTGTTACATCCTCCTTCCCGGAGTTTATTCTCTAGAGAATTATACATGAATGTATGTATCCATTCTATCAATCATATTCTCACTCTTCCCGGAATGACATACATGACATGAGACTAACATTCCACAGCATCTTCTCGATCTCCTCGAGCCAGTCAATTGTCCCGCAATCCAATCTGCAACCCTTCTCACCCTCGTCTGTTCACTCATTGACACCCCCAAAAACACTCGCACATTCGAAACTCTCGATGGTCTCTTAACCATAACCTCCATTTTCAAATCCCGCGAAACAAGTCGCGATGTAAAGCTCAAACTCGTCGAATTTCTCTACTTCTACCTCATGCCCGAAACCCCATCACTACAGTCATCAGGCTCATCAAACTCCATGGCATTAATGCAACGCAGCCCAAGCAAACTTCCCGTTGCAATCAATAGCCGAGAAGAGCCAGGCAGAAGAAGAGCACACAGCGAAAGCGAACATACCAAAACACTAGAGGAAAAACAAGAACTGCTAGGGAGATATCTCCATAATGTCGATGATTTGGTAGCAGATCTCCGAGAAAGTCATCCTTTTGGAGGAAGTATCGGGAGTTAATTTGCGCGGTGCAAAGGAAGGTTCTAAACGAGATATTGTGAAGGGGAAAGGGGAATTGTTACAAACACTCACGCATGAAGATTTCTTTTGTACATTTGGACACGCATGTCACGCATTAATGGGAGTTATTGTTTGGTTGATTAAGATCGGGGCGTTGGAGGAATTCTATTTTATTTTATCTTATCTTGGATTCCGAGTTTCTTTTAGGAAATTCATTCGGTTTCGTCTGGAGTAGTAGTAGTTACATACCAGTACCTGGTGCAAAGAAGAGAGAGAGAGAGATAGAGAGTATGGATGACCTGCAAGAAGATGTTTTCTGCGTCTTTAGATCTTCATGTTTACATCGTATCAAGCTCTATCAAATATCACATCATTTTCCATCCAATATCACATCATACCGATATTTTTACAGAAATGTGAAATGTAAAATGTAAACGGCATTTCTCATTCCGAAATGTATGGACAATGGAGTTTGATTCTCCGAAGGTGGTGTCTTAGCCGCTGACTTGGGGATGATGTGCATATTGCCTAGGCTAGGAGACGATGTAGCTTGGTAGATGTGTAGGTTGATAGGCAGGCAGGTAGGTACATATGCATACATATATCTCTGCATTTGAATTGGATTGGGAATACTAGGTAGGTAGGTAGGTAGTTAGGTGTTCACTTACTACTTACTTACTTGCCTGTTTCGGTTCCGAGGATGGAGATGTGGATTGGAGATGGATTGGATTATAGGTAGGTGCTTGTATGCATATATGTAGGTGTGGTGTGGCAAGGTATGAAATTGGGGGAATTCGCCGCCTGGTGGTGTACTGCATTTGGTTTTTGGGTTTTTGGGTTTTGCGTTGGGAGTTGGATGTAGTTTATAAGGATGGTTTGGGGAGGTGAGGGATAGAGTATATAACGTGATGGATTGAAGGATTGATCAAATGTTGTTGATTGCTAGCTTATTCAGAATAGTCAATGGTATTGTGGGAGATGATTTCAATAGGATTCTATCTGGGTAAATAGTAATTGAGAGTTCGAAGTTTGGTCCTTAATTGCTTGAGAGAGTATACGAGTGATGAATAGGAACTGTCAAACTCTACTCGGTCTCCTACACCACTAGGATATAAACATTTTGACTATCCAATCTTTGTTTTTCTTACTCGCTCATTCTCCGTAGATACTCGCCCATAGGTTATTGTAATCCATTCTACCATTCTCTATTTTGTACATGAAGTACAACACCTCTCCAACAACCTCAGGTATCTCTTTCACACCACACCATCCCAATAAACACACCCACACACACCCACCAATCTCACTCTCCACAACCTCCCTCAAAATCCAGAACCCCAGCTCCGATCCGTCAATCACGATTCTCGCTACACCCAGCATGCAAGTACATACATATCACCAGCTGCACTTCCAGGGTTCGCAGAATCATCAACGCCAATAATATCAAGCGATATCTACATATGGCTTACGGCTGACCTCAGCTTTTGGGTACTGTAAGTGTTAGGAGATGACTGAACCGGGACCGGGTAGGATGGGATGGATGTGGATGTGTGAAATGTAAGATACGATAAGACTGGATTTTAATCGGAGAGTTTGTTTGTTGGTTCGTTGATTTGATTTTGATTTTGATGGGGGTTAAATGTCGCTTTTTTGCGGCTGTGGTTTTTCTTTTCCTATGACTTTGCTTCCTCGTCTTTTGCTTTCTCATATTCTTTTATATTTTCATCAGGATTTTCACACGGGGGGTTGATAAATTCATTGTGATTATCCCTTGCCATCAGTGTGTCACCAGTGGACGGAGACTTTTTACTTTCCCCCGCAAACGATTGAGGGGATGTTACATACCTATATATTTCTTGTATACATATATCTCGGCATGGATCATCCTTTCTGAAGTTCGCGATATAGACTATTTTGAATTCTCCAAGATGCCGCTGTCGACATTGATATTTTCGCGGTCTCTGTGGCTGTCAGTATTTCTCGGATTGGGCTTCACGAATGTGGTACAAGTGCGTGGACAATTTGGAGCTGTGAGAATGGAAAATGGGGGGAATATATTGAGTCCGAGATATTATATGGGATTGAGTGAGGGAAGGTTGTTTGAGAGAGATAGTGGAGTTTGTCCAAGTGGATCTCATTCTTGTAATTATTCCCAATTTTTAATTCATCTTTCCATCTTGCATCTTTTATATCTTTGATTGCGCTGCCAGCCTCAATTATATCATGCCAAAAACAGTCACTAATCACAACTGCGTCTCAAAGGCCTCGATATAGATGTAGCAATATGTTGTCCAAATACCGAATACTGCATCATATCCCCCTCCATCGGTCCCTCCTGCTGCGCTATAGGCAGTAATTGCGATTCACCCTGTTCCTCCGCTTCCTTTCTCAGTAACAAAACCATCACCGTTTCCTCCACCTCTACCGTAACAACAACATGTGTTCCCCGAGCCTGTCCTCCATCTCTAACTACCAATGCGCTAGTTCTCTCGGCGGAGGCTGTTGCAACTACAACGCGCAATGCATTTCCTCAGACGGCTCCAGTGGATGCGCCGTCACTGTATTTCCTTCCTCAACCTCCGCTCTCGTCTCCGTAATCCCATCCGGCTGCACAACCAACCAATTCGCATGCGCTAGTTCTATGGGCGGCGGATGCTGCGATAATGGATTCGGCTGTACAGTTCTCAGCGGTACAAACTACTGCGCTGCTACTACCGGCACCGGATCCGCTATTCGTACGGGAAGCAACGGAATCCTAGCAACCGGAACCTCAGATTCCAATACCACATCTAGCAATCACGGTCTCTCCACAGGTGCCAAAGCCGGCATCGGCGTCGGAGTTGCGCTTCTCGTATTAGCATGTGTAGGAGCTTGTATATATTTCTTCACCATCCATCGGCGTCGAGCTCTCCAATCTAAGTCCTCCTCTCATCCCGATGTGGATATTCCACCTGCTGCAATGTCACAGATTTCCGGCTCTAGATTCTCGCATAAATCGGGGTCGAAAGCGGGATCGAAAATTTCGAGAAGACCGGGTGTATCGCCAAATGTGAGACAGGAATCGGATTATTTTGGGACGACGGCGCAGAGTGGGCCGTTTACGGAGAGTGCGGGGACGAGTCCCGGGTTCGGGAGTCAGAGGGGGGTCCCGGCGACTCCGCAGAGTCCGAATGATATTGCGGCGCCGGTGGAGATTGGGGGGGAGGGGATGGGGGTAGGGAGGGAGAGGGAGAAGGAGGGGAATGGTGGGAGGAGTGGGAATGCGAGTGTGGCGACGACACCGGGCGAGGGGTGGGAGTATGTTAAAGGGGGAAGGTTTCGGGAGGGAATTGCGGAGTTGGAGTAAAGGGTAGGAGAATATTCTCGTTGGGAGTTTGATGGGGAAGTTGGAGATATCACTTCCTCGTGTTTGGAAAATGATTTCGAGGATGTATTGGGTAATGCACATGTAAGGATAATGAGTATTATACGATTACTAAAGATGGTTCTTTATTGAAATGCTAGGAAGAATGATAACCGCTATTCTCAGTCACAGTCACAGTTCCAATCCCAATTTCAATCCCACCCACTCACTTCTCACTAACCATTGCTCCTCATCTCATCTCATCTCATCCCGTGACCACCATCTGCTGACTACTTAGATACTTCAATATGTCTTATTATTCCTTTTTTTTCCCCCAACAAAAATTCGCATATTCCCCCTTTCCCCCCAACCTAAAATTTTCTATCTCAGATCTCAGAATTCCATGATTGTCACGAGATATTCTTGAAAAATTTCTAACTTTAAGAATTCAGGAGTGTTTTCAAAAAGAACTGGTGGAAGCTGAATTTTTTTTACATGGTTGATTGAGGGGATTGGGGAAAGAGATGAATATGGACATGGATACTTAGGAAGTTCAGAAGAGCGTTTGTGAGAGTTGGAGTATGGAGGTGGGAGATGGGAGAAAACGGTATGCAATCAATTTATCTGTCTAGACTCTAGCTATTTGCGAAACGGGGAGGAAAAGTAGGATATCATCCCTTCCGAATCCCTTGGAAAGAATTCCTCGAGATTCGTGGGTCCTAATTTATGTAAATATGCAGGTCGATTTCAATACCACGTTACTTTGTGTGAGTATATGGGGAAGTGACTGGGTGTTGTGATGAAACTATAATACGGTATGTCGTTAGAATACATAGAGAAGATATTATACCAACAAAGCACCAATTATCTCAATTGACTTCTTCCATGCTAATCCTACAAACAGGACAGAAAAGATCCAGATCCAAAAACTAAGGACTTTGCTCATTCCGCTACTAACAATTAATTGCGATGATGACAAGTATCGCTTCGAATACTGATCCCATCAAAGCCACCTGACATCCCATCCCGTTCACGCGTTTGACCTCTTACTCAATTTACTGAGCCTATATCATGTCACCTTTCCATACCTACCTAGTTACCATGACTATCACGACTACCGCCTCCAAAAACACAAAATACCATCATCACTGTTTTACACTCTTACCAACACTGATACTACATTCTGATGGAGTCAAACACTAAACAAGATAAGTTGACATGATGCTCAAATAACAAAACTTTAGAGCTCAATTCGACACTCTCACCCATTGGATGTTTCGCCGCTATTCACATGACATGGCGAGGCATGAAATTGTACCACTAAGCGACGGTGGTAGTGATGGCGATACTATTAAGCGGAAAGAACTCGAGACTTCAAAGGTTGCAAGCAAAGCACAATAAATGTGGGGGAAGTAGTTATATTATTAAAGGTTCTACTATCCCAATTATCCTCCTCAATGCTATTTTCTACACCTAATATCCTACACTGCACACCAGAACAGAAACAAAAACTTCGCTAATATCCATCAATAATCACTAGGTAAACAAAGACTTCCGTAGCGAAAGCCATGACACTTTTCCCTCTCCGTCGATTTCTCTAGGCGGAAGTGCTGTAGTCCAAGCCGAAGGAGGTAGGACCAGTGTAGCTCTGGGTGCTACTGATGGTGTTGGCAGTCATAACCAACTCGCTGTTGGGGAGCAAGTGGGAAGCAGTTTGGTTGCTGGCTGGAGTAACCTGTTGGGAAACGAAGAAGTTGAGACCAGCATCCTCGCGGGTAACCCAGAATCTGCGGGAAGACTCGATGCAGGAGCCGCCCCATTGTGGGATGTCTGGGAGAGTTCCGTCGGTGTTAGCGGCGACGAGAGCGGTGCATTTGACACCGGTGGTTTCCATGGTACCGGGTTGGATAACGGTGAAGGAGTAGCTGGTTGGGGGGTTAGTTTGAGGTTTAGGAAGAGAAGAGGGAGGAATCTTACAGGCACTGGCTGCTGTGTGGGATGCAGCCGGCGCTGAAGTCGGAGACGTCGAAGACGCTGCTGCGCTTCTCGATGGCGGCAGCCGATGCAAGAGCAACGGTGATGGCGGAGATGATAGCGGATGAGAATTGCATTTTTGCGGTTTGATTATTGATTTCTTGGTGAGAAATTAAGTGGATTGTTTAGATGTTGGTTGTTGTGAGTGAAGATGATGAGATTGTTTGTTTGAATGATGATTTACACAACAGGATACCTCATTCTTATATATTCTTCCCATCGCTATACATTTCCTTTTTTATTGGAGTGTCTCCAGAGTGTATGATTAGATACGAGATGCACGATGTACAGAGTACACACAATGCCGATCTGTGGAGCCGGCAATCCTCGCTCTCGTATTCAGTGGATGCTGTGGCTTGGCTGTAAGTGGAACGAGACGAACGTCATTGTATTCAGATTGCTTTTGTTTGCTTGTATGCATGACATTGTGTCCCTACATCACATCGTACGTTGGATAAAAATTTAAGCACATTTGGCATTGATGTTAAAATTACTGGAGGGAGGGTTTTGGCAGAGCCAAGTCGTGGTAGCCTAATGACAAGTACCTAGACATTATTAATTTACAATTAGATGTTTACAGTTTTTGTAATTTATTACAAACGTCACAGAACCCTAATCTCATCAGTGATACAAACCAAAATAAAAACACAACACCCTAAGGATTTCCATAGAATCACTAGAATCTTCCATACAGATTCCAAATTAAATCATCCTGTAAGGTTATTCTTACGCTTAATTATCCCCGCAAATAGTATCAAGTACTTTCAGTTCCGTCAGTACCGGACATACACCCGCTGTGAAACCCCCGAGATCCGCTCCCACTACTCAATACGAACCCCTATGAGGTAGGTAGGTCAACGGAAGAACTTATCCGAGTGTACACTGGCACTGGTAGCCTCGATCGAAGAACTAATTCTACGCGCACAAATGATGAATAATCCTTTTACGAGGAGAAGGAAATGTTCTAGTTGTTAGGAGAATAAGTGACACAATTTACCTAAATAAAACCCACTAGCCGCACCGCATAGCCCCTTTTTGCCTCACTCACTCCACTCCCGTATTTTTTGGTGGGGTAAAACCCAGTTTGTGGAAAGTCTAATTGAACGATGCGTTATTCAACGTGCTTGGCAATTAGGGGTCAACTTGTCAAAAAGTGCTGCTGGCCCGTATTCTTGGAAAAATGATGTATGTAACCTATTGTTGGCACATTTTGTACCGCTTCGCTTGCAATCTTCCGACACTCGCCTGACCTTTTCTTCGTACCTGATAATGTAACTGGATTTTTGTCTATGGCCTGACGCTTTGATCGTAACCTGCTTTACTCAGGTCAATACGAGTGGATGATCCATAGGTTGAGTTGTATTTTTACACGTGTGGAATCCTTTCTGAATTTGATATATCGACAGCACACCGCATTAAGCAATGCGCTCCTTAATCTGTTTTGTCGGTGGGTAAAGGGGTGAATAGAGTTATTAGAAAAAATGCTCCTCGGTTGATAAATCTTCGTGTTGATATATGAGAAACCTATGTCTCCACGTCCATCTCCATTTCATTTCATTTCATTTTATTTCATTTTCTTATTTGGCCCAAGATATACACACAGTGGACATGACCGTGATCAAAGTTTTGAATGGCAGATCACATTGTTCTCCAGAACATGAATGCTTCAAAATTTGACATTTCGTATTCATTATTTCGGATTGTTTTGAAATAAAGAATATCAATAGTAAAGAGTTATTTGCTACGAATTTAATTTCCTACCAAGATACCGATGTCCTATCAATATCGTCGAAAAGTCCTGAGAGCATCCGTTGGCCATGCAATTTTCCACAAATCCAAGAACTATTGTAACGAACGACTAAATTTCGGGCGTCCTCCAACTACCCAGTCCTTTTGGGTATCAATTAAATATTGGAGCTACGAAAGCCCACCTTGGTAAGAATTGGACGACTCTATTTCCCTCAACCAAAGCCGTCTATCGTATTTGTGCCAAACCAGCTTTCGAGGGTAATCATCATTTGGTACTTTTGGTAAGATCCATCAAGTCATTTACAATCAGCAGACAGGAAAAGAAGAATACAAGAATTTCAACGCCATGCTCCTTCTCTTTTAGTTTTGATTTATAGTCTAATTTCTACTTATATCCTTGTTTTTTCCAGCCCGGCGCGTATGTCTCTAGAGATAAAAGCCGAGCCAGGAGCCTCCTTCTGCTACCCCATTTATTGAAAGATTCCGCGGGAAACTTGAAGCAAAAGGAAAACATCGTGGGCACGCCGTCGCAGAATAGTGGGTGATACCTCCGAATTTGTCAGGATCCCTCATCGGGGGGCATTCTCTTTCTACTTCCTTGCTAGATTCAGCTATATTTTCATAACGCTCTCCGTTATGTTCGGGAAGATGCGGCATGAAGAATTCGAATTGATACCTTTCGCTACCCGGAATCGGGGAAAATGGGGTATTATAAACATACATTTCTTTCCGCACCTGGAATGAACTGCCGGGATACAAGCCCTGATTCTTGTCATGGGGAGTAGCCATTCTTCCCCCATACAGCCAATCACCAAGGACATTCCATTGACCCCATGGAACTATCACGACCCAAGGTCCACAAGCTCCGGTATCTGTATCTGGTTTGAGTTTCTCCCAAGGGTTTCCCATCGAGATATTTGCCGATATCCGAACATGAGAAAAGCAATTAACACTACGTATTTCGTCACTAAAGGCATTCCACCTTGATCAGCAGGTAGAGCACGCTGGCAAATCTCAAGAGCAGCTTTATAGTCATTTCGGGGTCTGCCTTGAGGTGTTGGAAAATTTTCCTCCAGATCGTCCTTCAATACTTTGGAAGCCACACAAAGAAACTTTTCGAGAGTTGGCGCGAATACCTCCAATGCGTTCCAATTGCTATTGTTCTCTGTAAAAGTAGCATTTTGAGCTAGAATAGGAATGGTTATCCGCCCGTAGATTTTGGCCGCGTCAAATTCATGTGATTGCAAGTCTTCTGAGGGCCCGGATGGAATAGTAAGGTCGACCGCGGAGATAAATGGACGGATCTTTTGAAGATTGGTCTGATTTTCTTCCCAGATATTGTGAGTACGTAGTCCATCAAAATCTGTAGGAACTACAAGATCACCCATATTTTTGAACTGAGACTATTCAGCAGCCAAAGTTATTAGCATTCAAACAATGAGAGAGATATCTGTACGTTTCAGAATTCAATTTGACAAGGGGAGTGATTGGCTAGAAACACATACATAGAATAGAGTTCTCTTCAAAATCTATGCCATATCGTTATTTTAATTCAACGAAAAGTTGATGATCTCTGAATTGAAGTCGAACAAAGTTGTCACTGATGTTTATGCTCAGGCCTGGGGGATCCTGTAAAAGAGGAATTCGATTTATTACTCTGTTTGATCCATCTTCGCACTTTCCAGATGCTTATTTAGTATCAGGGAAGAGAAATAATATGTCGTTACTTCCGCTTCAAGATTATTTGTTTATCATTTTATGTATATGCCACAAGTGGAAGGAAAGAGATGGTCAAAAGCCTCGCGCGTGAAAGTATCAAGATACACGCAGTTCCAGAAACGAAAAATAAGCCATACATTGATTTGCAATCTGTCTCCTTCCCTCTTTGAATGCACGCTTGATCGTTGTGTATTTAAGATTCTTCGGATTTTGTACTAAATTAAATGATCTTTAGAAAAAATGACTGCAATTCTCAGACTCAACCGAGTAATCACCACACTGAGCAACGTAGTTATGGCCCTCATATTCCAGTTTTATTTGATAAGGCTTTTGAGCCATTCATTGAAAGAGCTTCTTTCAATTAAATGCTATAAGGCTATTCAGCCCCCTTCACTGTACCTTCTGGCAGTCTGACTATATACTTTTTTGATGAGGAGACACTTACAAAAGGGAAGTTATTCATCACTAACGCAAAAGACCACCTACTTCCAGCCTCTCCCCTGTCTTGATATGTCCCGCGCAAAGGGCTTTCATCTTCAATTCTCTTGAAGCTCAATAGGGCCACTGCCATTTCCCTCATCTACCCAATGCGAACTTACCATTGGAAAGGTTCCAGTTGCAAAAGCTCTGAGTGGGCTTGCAATCCACAAAAGAACTGTTTATTCAAGATGAACAGACTACCTTTTTTCAATCGTTTCCTTCTGTACTTGACTGCTTTACTATTACCCAAAAGGAGCATTTGATATAGTTCACTATACTTTCAAGTAATGATCCTTTCGAAACTCAATTCCAATGTGAAGCGAAGAATTAGTGGCATTATTCTTTCCTTTCGAGATTCACTATATAATTCACTACAATCCTCAAATCAGAAACTCTAGACTGGAAAATTTGACCACGTGATTTTCTTCATCGGGACTTGCTCCAGGTCGAATTGAAGCTCGCGCAGAGGGCTAACCCATATCACAAACTTTGCCTTGATCCCTGGTGCGATGAAAGAGCATTTACACATGCTACCACCATTAACGTAATTGAAGCACTTCGGCTATAGGTCATATATAATCTTGGGAAACTTTGTATCAGATTATATTTTGTAGACCCTCTTTTGAATCTATACATGTTTAAATAAAACGAATATGGGAGATAAATCTTGAGCATCTGGTCGTATCACTTTCCGCCAGTGACTGATATGGTTACTGGTCATCCGACCGGTCATTCGCCCGGTCAACTCGAGTTGTTGGTCCTGCTGAAGTTGGCAAAGCCACTTCGATAAGCTGCATGTTCTTCAAGGTTTGCAACGACACTCTTATTCTCCACTTGAATCGATTAATTCCATCTAGACTATCACATGCTGACTATTATATCGACCATAGTGATATACCCATAGATATTGTATAGGTATTTCAGCGATATGGGGACACAAAATATGACCAAGTCTCCTACCAGATATTTTTAGTTTTCCACTCTCGAGTAAAAGTTTAATTACCTCTAGATACCCAGCAGCAGCAGCCCACGATAAGGCATCTCGTCCAGAGAAATCTTGATTCTGACAATGCAGTCGATCTATCGTCAATAAACGTGTGACAATTTGGATTTCACCACTTTCAGCCGCCCAAGAGAGTACGTTCCGCCCTCTTTTGTCAACATGATTAACATCTGTCTCGGGGTTTCGCGAGAACTGCACGATATCTAAGTGCTTGCTACCAACGGCCCAAAAGAATGATGTCCATTTGTTTACATCTTGAACGACCAATTTTACGCGAGAGTCTTCAAGTAATGTTTTGACGATATCAATATGACCATTGCTAGCCGCAAGTGACAATGAGTCTCAGCCCCCAATGCCTTGTACATTTGGATCTATCTTATCAAGATTGAGAAGCAGTTTTACAACTTCCAGGCATCCAAATCGAGCTGCGACAATCAGAGGATGTAATGCTATTGAGACAGTCATGCTGTGCCAAATACGAGTTCTTAGAGCATCAACAATCTCTAGGTTGCCCTTTCTAGATACCTAATACATAGCTGTCTCTGTGATAGTTTGATCGTGCTTATAATCTCTTGCCAATGACGCACCCAGTATTTCGACGTGACCAAAGTAGCATGCGGCAATCAATGTATCAAATTTGGAAGGGTATAAACAACCTGGTTCTGAAAAGAACCAAAAGTAATGAAACCAATTCTTAGAACAATTCTGACGCATGTTCAGTAGACTGAAGGCAGACTTAAAAGCACCTATCTTTGCTGATCCTGATCTCGAATAGTGCTCTGACCAATATCGAGCAGAGTAATTGAAAAGAGTATGAGCAGCAGCGATATCCTGGTATGTATGGTAGCTTGTATATTCAACTTCTGGGAGAGTAATATCTTCTTCTAGTTCGAATGCGTCCCAGACAGTGTCCTTGTCCTCAGGTTGTGCACTCCCAGGTGAGCCGACATCAGTCGCATACGCGAACTTATCGACCGCAAAATCATTCAATAGAAGATATGACATCGTTGCTTCAGTCAATAGAGAGTTGGCTTTCTCGATTTCAACGCCGAACACTTGAGATGAAGGATTATCCTTCCAAGTCCAAAGGTTTTGCAAGAATTCCTTGGCAGACTGGTGCACAAGGGTTACTTTGTCATCAGATATTCGTACCAATGGACCTAGTATTCCCTGGATGGTTTCGTTAATATTATGCTGGCACTCCTCCTCGACTTGATCCATATTTCGATAGTGGGGCTGGATAGCCAGTAAATTTCGAAGTTCGTCTAGCGAAAGTGAGCGCATACTACCAACAATCAAATGCAGTAGCTTATTTGATATGTTCTGATACTCCGAGTGAATGCTAAGTAGAAAGCGTTCGTAAGTAGCTGTCAAGCCCCTTGGGAGTTTGTTAACGATTCGCTGAAAGTCATTTTGGGAGGCAAGGTATGTTCTCTCTAGGATATGGAGAATTGTAGTCACCCAGAGGAATATTTGATCAACTCGTGAATATAAAGTATGTTCCAGAAACTTTCTTATTTTAGGGCGGCATTGCGTTCTTCTTATTATAGTATCAATTCGTATCCGTACAACTAAATGAAGATCGCTTTCATTGTTCGAGTTGAGATTCCTAATTGATAGAGTATGCTCGATGCTTTTGTGTGCTAATGTATATTAACGCTACAACAAAGGTCGGCTAATAATTAAGAGTTTTATACCATATGTACCAGAAGAATTATTTTGGTCCACAAGTGATGCAATTGCTCCCAACAAGCCATCTCTCGTATTTTCTTCGCATTCATCGATAATGGCAGTAGTCGCACAGCTGCCTCCAGAGCAGAGTTGTTCTCAACGAATTGGAAGAAGATCGGAATGAAAAAGATCGGAGGAAAGCAAGAACTGATTGTAGTTGCGTGAGGATAAATAATAATACTATCTCGTACGATTTCAGTAATTCGAAGGGGAATAAACGACGTGTTTCATCAGTCGTGATGCATTGAAGTTGTTGAACTGCAAACAATATCCAGAGAACACCAGAACAAACGAATAGTCCGATGATTTATTCACTTCTCCAAGGATATATGACGCCCCCGAACGAAATTGCCATTATACCCGATAGGAAAACTCCCATGATCAACAAGACGCCTAAGAGATCAAATCTCTCGAAGTCGAGTTTTGATACTGACTCCTGGCCTAGGATCGTGGGAGGGTAAAAGGAGTATATATACAGGTCCTCTTGATCCTCCTACACAAGTATTCAAATCAAAGGACCATCTCCAAGTTGCACCACTGTCTGTAAAAGCATCGCCGATAATTGGACCTAAACTAGATAGACTTAGTCAAGTGGTCGCCATGTATCTCGGATATGATACTTACACCGTACCTAATCCCCACGTCAGACCTACTAGACTAAGATATGCCAGTATTTCTTGTTCGGTATAAGAATAGAGAGAATATTCATATATTCGAAATAAATTCCCGATCTACTTAGGCCATATATTGTGTGGCCAGTCATTAAAGTATTCATTGTTGACGTTGCATTGTATATTACAAATGCCAATTTTGAATACAGAAATGGAGCTAATAAAGAGCCATTTCGAATTGAATTGTCCATATGCTTTAGCCCCCTGGATTGTCGGACAACGGTCAAAACTCAATATCCATTACTTCGAAGAGATAAAATCTTGCACATACCATATTAAATTGACACTAACAGCACCCAAGGCAAAAGCTACCGACATCCATGGTAGCTTCGCAATTTCTCCCAGTGTTTCCACAACTTTTGGTTGGACATCAGCGACAATGGTGTTATCAAGTACGAAGAGAAAGAATGGTGAGATAATGGCTGCGACAACGAGAGCCCACAGAAAGCCATTGAGCTCACAGGCTGGTTGCTCAATAGCAGTGAAAGCAGTATCCGAAGTGACCGGCGTTGTCTCATCTTTAGTGAAGTTGATATCTTCTTCCCTTTTCTGGCCAGATTCAAACTTCTCTTCATCCGGTTTTCGGGGTTTTGGGTATTTGTCTTGGAATTCTGGGTCGGGAGAATTTTCGTTGGTGGCTACTGAGCTATCCATGGCGACAATACTAACATCTGGGATTCCATTCTTATACAAGTACACAAAACTACACTAGCCCCCCCCCCCCCACCAAAGTTTACCTTAATAGCTCAAACTTGTCGTATTGGGTTCACCAGTTCTCGGTATGAGGCGACTTCGAGAGAATCAGAAGCCAATATATTTGGGACTTCAGGATTCTCAATGAGGAGACATGAATCATTTTTCAGGTACTATATATTACAAGTACTCTCAAGGAAGTAATCAGCCTTCCGAGCCTGCAGTTATGCGGCAAATTTCTGGATTTTCGGTACGATGTTGGATTCGCTATTCTCGATTACAACATCCATTGAATCGTTGGATTCTTGTTGGTAGTTGTACTTGAGATATTGCGAGATTGGCTCAAATGAAATTCGCAATCTTTTGGAGCGACGGAACTTCCGGCAACTTCCGATAACTTCGGTCCTCAATTCATCAACTGTTTCAACCACAAAAATCTCATGAATGACTGGTTGCGGTATTGTTGGACTTGGTCATGAGTGAAATTGGTTGGCATATGTAACAGCCATATTCGTGCTATTGACTCCGACGAAGCAATCGTGTTTAATATGGTTTGATTTATTCATCGCCATCAATAAAATAGATATCGGTATTGGCAAGCGCCTTCATAAACTCTTTACTCGTTCATTCAAAGTTCTGGAATATTTGAACCTCGATTCTAACCCTGATAGAACGCACTACGTTGGTCGTCACTATGTCGGTCGTCACTATGTCTTCTCAATTATCAGCTAAAAGACAAAACTTTACAAGCCATGGTTTGTATTCGTGGTCGAAAACACCATGCCTCTGTTTGATGTACTTTCAGTCAGTCCATGGACTATACGACTTTTGCAAAACAGTCGTTTCTGGGTTGCAATATCGAAAATGGCGAAGCGCAACAGGAATATGCCAATTCTTGGCATTGAACATTAAGAAATACAATCGTCCTAGCGGCAAAGCGGGTATGCTGATACTCTCGCCAACGATCAAAAGCTGACTGTGCTTGTCAACAGTGGGATTTGTGATTCTCACTGAACTGCGCCGCATATATACAAGGCACAGGTAAAACTAGCAGCAGCATCATATAACAGCCGAGGTATCAATTTACGTCCGAATTATATATTGGAATCAATACTTAGTCTTCTTCCTCAGCATAAAAGACATCTACTGCTTATCCCCAAAATTATTCTCCGTCCATAGCAATCAAGATGATTACAACACAAATCGAAATCCATGCCTCACCAGAGAGTGTTCGAAGAGTGGTAAGTGGTGTTAGCTCTGTTACAGACAAAACATAATTTCTAATTCTCGGATATTCAGCTCCTCGATTTTCCTAATATCAGTGAATGGCATACTGGATTTGTGAAGAGTATCACACCACTAGACACCAATAATCCCTTTGCCGTCGGCAAAAAACTTCATTGCGTTATGAAAGATTTCGAGTTCGATTCTATTATTACCGTGAGTACATCCAAATTCCCAAATATCCAAATATACAAACTGCTTCTTCGGAAAAATTTTCAAAGCAATAAGGACCTAGTCAAAAACTTTATTGATTTCTGATTCCGGAATAGGAAAACTCTCCAAACAAATTTGCATGGCAAGGCCCACCTGTTATGACTGTCTCCGGTCTCCATTCTTTCCTTGTTGAACCGAGTAAGAGTCATCCTGGAGGCACGATATTCACACAGATGGAAGAATACTCTGGAGGTATTTCTTTCTTGATGCAGCCTTGGCTTTTGGGAAAACCTATCAAAGGCCAATTTGAGGAATTTAATATGGATTTGAAGAAGAAGTGTGAGAGTCCTTGACGAAGTACTTTCTAGAGAGGGCATGGGCCTGGGAGGATTTTTAGCAAAAATACTTTTTTGTTTTCCCGAAGGCGTTGTGGATCTGGACAGTCTGGATGCTGTAATCAATTGTATTGTTGGTAGACCTATGCATGACTTCATGCTATATACAAGTAAGTAGCTAGGCTTGGAAATCGATCGAGATCCGTATAAAACCCCAACATGTTCAGATTCCAGGACTTTCCTATCAAGAATCATCAATGGAGGATATCATGCAGGAAGAAAAAGAGTCCCGTAGTCATTTAAGTTATTAAATTGATCGTTGTATTTGGAATCAAGCTGCGAAATCCAGGCAATTCCCTACTAAGGAAAGGTAAAGTAAAAATCCTCCCAATAATTTTCCATAAAACCTAAGCGTGGCCATAAGATTTGCAACTTTTTCAATCCCTTTGTGCAATCTCGCCCGCTGTGAATAGAAAATTCAAAGCTCAACTTCCAGACTCGCACATGCAATCTAGTATGCAATGCAATGCATCTCGAATCGAATCTATCCTAGCCACACGACTAATCACTTCAGCCATCGTCCCTAAAAGAATGAACCAGCCTAAGCAGAAGATGCAGCAGTATTAACACCCCTCTCCTTACAATACTTCTCAACTTCTTTCTCCAACTGCTCCTTCTGTCTAATGACTGCCTCCATAACATCCTTCACGTGTTCTTTCTCCTCGCCCATTCCCTCACCGTCGTTACCGATTTCCTTCCAGATTCTCGTCATTTCACTCAACACGGCACCGAGTTGATTGGGCAACCAAGTAACGATTGGAGAACCACCTGTTGCAACTGGATGCGCGGTTTTCTTAAGAATGTATTCACGAGTGAAACACCAATGACGCCATCTGAAATCACGAACTTGGTCCATGCAGAGGAGATAGAGAGCAGTGGATGTAGGAGAAGAGAGAGCAAAGGATTTGAGATCAACAGCCAAGGAGGCGTTTTGAATGTGTTCGAGAAATTGACGGTGGTTTCCTGGACGGTATGAACGGAAGTCTTTGAGGATTGAGGTTAAAGGAGTAGTTGGCATAGGAATGTTTAGGAGGTTATCCATGAGTGGAATCTGGATTTAGTTAGACCACGGACTTTGTTGAAGAATTTCAGCAGAGAAAGGAAGGGAGAATATACCATAGAATCATTAGCACCAGATTCACCACGGAAACTCAAGGGTTCCTCAGAAACACCTTCGTAAATAACACCATGTGGAAACATAGATTGGCTGGTAATACCAAAGATGAATGTTCTGAAAGAGGTGTAATCACCAGGCTTCGATTTCTGCCACATGCCTCATGACGTGTCAATTTCAGTCGTCTAAGATTTAAGAATGCAAAAGGGGGAAGGAAGAAGAAGTAGGAAACATACCATCCATGACAGCATTAACTTTAGTCATAGCTCCCAAAACCTTTCTCATGCCTCCCTCGAAAGAATCTCGATCATGCTTCTCAACTGCTTCTAAAGCACTGACAACACCATCAACCAATGGTCCAGAGTTAGAAACCATATCTACATGGACGAGAACAAAGCCAGCTTCACTGGAAGTGTGATCAAGACCATGTTCAAAGGCACGGATGAGGCGGAAGTTATCGTATGTGTAGCCTTTAGCTGGATCCTCAAGACGATAGTTATAAAGAGCATAAGAGCCAGCATACTCCATAAAAGGTTTAAAACCAGCACTATAGGCGAATGAGATTAGTATTTGATGAGATAAGGTTGGAAGGTAGATAGTTGTCAGTGAACTGAAGGTAATGATCATGGGTGATCATGAAGAGTGAAACAATGGTGAGAAATATACATACAGCTCAGCACATCTACTGATAGGCAAACTAATAACCCTAGGTAAAGTTTGTCTTCCTAATCCATACTCTTCACCTTTAAGGAATCTCTCATGACAAGGTTCCAAAAGGTACGCACTAGCTAAGAAGCTGTAGTCGCGATAAAGAGCATTCATAAGTGGTAAGTTATCTTGATACTTATTGATAGCGTTAGTAAGATCTGGAAGCTCGTTGAGAACTGTCTCTCCAAGGGTGAAAGTAGCTAGAAGACCTGGCTTGCCATCAAGAGTCTTGATAGGCATGCGTTGAAGGATAGATTCTAGAGCATCGAACTCGGAGGGAAGAGCGATTATAGGTTCAGTACGTGGAAGGAAACCTCTGGTTGTTGATACCATGAAGGCTGGCAATGAGTTGTCTTCTGGCTTGGTATCCCTAAGGACCTCGAAGTGTGGGAGAGAGGTGGGAGTAATTGAACCCATGATGAAAATGAGTTTAGAAGATGAATAAGAGGGTTGTGATGAAGTAAAATGTGGTATAAATCGGTGGAAAAAGGTGGTTTAGGAGTTCTTGAAGTTTCGTAGAAGTTGTGTTGTTAAAAGACAAAGAAAAGTTCAACAAAAAGTGCGAAATTTCTGTCCTTTTTATCTTGTTCTTCGTGGCCGGAAGGCATTCCGGCCACAGCAAGGACATGACCTCTCACTCCTGCTAAACGGGTATTCGCAGTGGATTCAAAGATAAGAGATCAATGATGAGTAGTAGAAAGTATTCACTTGAATATTTCAATTGTCAAAAGGATATTGAAGAGCAATATATAAGATTTTAAATCACTGACCAAAATCAAAGGGGGAAATGAAGATATACCCGACCACGTGTTTGTGCACCTTTAGATTCACCCCAAAATTGTCTGATTTATGCTTCCATGGAACTCTCCATAAAAGCATTAATATGTCCAGTATGAACTTCCATATGAACTTTCATACAAAATCCATGCTTTGATCATAAGTGCTCGTTCTAAGATCTTTGAGTGTTGAGATTGGTGATGGTCATTCAGTTCTTTGTACCACCCCCAAATATCTTCGTTGATAACCCCTTTATTATGATTGGTGAATTGGCCGGAAAATCGACCGCGGTGGAGAGTCAGCTAACGAAGATTTTATGAGATAACATTAACTAGATGATTGGTCAAACATTCTCTTGATAAAGCTAGAAGTCTCGCGAAATTAAGCCGGAACTTTGATAGCAAGAATTGTCATGTGATTATCACATGCAATCAATAGTGGGGTGATTTTGGGGCTTGGTTGTCGTTTTCAAGTTCATCTCTGTTTAAATTGTAGGCTCAAGTTTATCGGTATGTGAGTGTTGAAAGCTTTGAGGCAAGAACAAATAGAGCAAATAAAGGCACAGTAGATGGCTTCGTAGGGGATTTCACAAATTACTTTCAAAAAGGGTTTCTTCGAAGTCATGCTGCAGTGACGGCGCCTGTGTGGTTGTTGCAAATCGGCTATTATCAGCGAGTATTTCGATGGGCATTCCCCGTGCCTGTTGGGTATTTTCCTCGAACACTTCTGCAACAGAATATCAAGGAAATCCTTGGCATTTACGAAGCCAAGTGCTCATGAATCATAGTTCGCATCGCTTATACTATCCGAAAATATGCTAATTGTTTCCCCCTAATTATCGTCTCGAGTTCAAACAGAGAGTCTCCCTTCTGAAGTTATGAAGACAAAAATGTTATTCGTGAAAAGCTATCAAGTTTTTGAGTTGCTAGTGCTCCATGTGCTTGCCATTATTTGCTGTTGACTATGTGTGGAAGCTTGAAGTTGACATCGATATCCGAAGAAAAAATTGAAGATAGTGCTCCTGTACGTTTTTGTATGTTCATGTTGGGAAGTCGCCATCGAGCTATCAATTTTGCAATCTTGTCGAGTAATGGCTGAAGACGAAGTGACGATACATAAAATTTGGTTCTAAAGTCTCCCCTGTGCCTGGTCGTTCTTTCCCATAGGGATATGATGCTCACCTTCTCTTAACTGCATCGTGTTATTGATATTTCCTACTCTCTCTTTATTTCTTTTCACTCTGTGTATACGAAAAGCCAAAAGTGGTACCATGTTTTCCCTTATGGTAATCTACAGTCTCTTCAGCTACGCAGTAATCACAAATGCGTACACAACATTCGATACAACTTGTGCAATTCCAGCAAAATCAACTAATTATATTTCACCACCCAACAGTCGAGGAACTCTCAATATTCTCTGGACATGTCTGTTCACAATCGTCATCTGCACATGGGCAATTCAGCATCTCAACGTACCCCAACAACGGGTAAATCGGGACTCTGGTTTGAAAGATGACATAAAATGGAGAATCGGACGCTTCGCATCGAGTCTTAAATGGATGATAGCAACCATTCTCGCTCCAGAGATCCTGCTTGCCAAAGCTTGGAGTGATCTCGATGTTGCACGAAAGCAGCTTGAAAAATTCAAAGCTTGGGCTGCTGACGATGATGTCGAGTGGACATTAACTCATACTTTGTTCGCAAACATGGGCGGTTTTGTAATTCGAAGTTATCCACAATCAAGTGAAAATAACGACATCGAAGCTAAGCCCAGCATTGCTCTTGACATTTTCGCCGGCCAGACACCACGCCCACTTTCGACCGAGGTTTCTACTCCATTGATGGAATCATCTATAGGATGCATATCTTCGGATGCAAACGACGTCTCAATCCGAGTTAACGTTTCGGATTCGGGTGTTGCAGCTGATACCCCTATCGATTATCCTAATCCGTACCATCTGACCGCTCAACAAATACTCTCACTTCGACGATGCGAGCATATTCGACTTCCCAACATCACACTCGATGAGATCAATGACAAAAGCAAAAACGACACTCTTATACGCATCATCGCATCCACCCAATTCCTCTGGATCGTCGCCCAGATCATCGTACGAGCAATCAACGGCCTAGTAATCGCACAACTCGAGCTCGCGGTCATCGCCTTCTCCACCTGCGCATTCCTAATCTACATTCTCAACTGGAGCAAACCCAAAGGCGTTTCAATCCCCTTCACAATTCTCTCCTACGATGGACCCATTCCTACTGCCCTCCTGGAATTCATGAACAAAGATCTCGATCGTGCATCCATGCTTAACATAATTCTCAACAATCCCTCTGCACCCCTCACATCTGGCGACCCAATTCCAAACGATACCATCTATCCCTCCTCCGATGAAGAAGAAGCCTGGCTCATCGGTTTCGAATTCGGTAGTATAGTTTTCGGATGCATCCACGTTGCAGCATGGAACTTCATCTTCCCCACTCATCTCGAACAGACTCTCTGGTGGTCTACCAGTATCTGGTGCACGGTGTTCGTACTCATCTACACGCTGATTCCCTACTGCGGCATGATATGTTGTGGCGATTTTCGAAGAATTGCGACACCTAGAAAATTGGCGTGGGGTGCGGCTCCCTTGTTCTTCTTATATGCGTTGGCGAGGTGTTTTTTGATGGTGGAGATTTTCAGAAGTTTGTGTTTTTTACCCCCAGATGCGTTTATTGCGACAGTGATGGAGAATTTTCCTCATTTTGACTGATATGCATGGACTGATCCGTGTGCTTGGTTGGTATGTACTGGGATTGAAGATAATGTATATAGTATTATGGTATGATTGGTGTTTGTTAGCTTAAAGCATCAATATGAAAGCAATGCATCATTATTTTTGAAAAGATAACCGTGCCGCTTCCTCATACTTCTTCACGGTGACATCGATCAATCTGGCACAAAAGAGCGAGGCAGCAGAGCTGCAGAAGGTAGACCTGGCTGTACAAGCAATGCCGATTCTTCATCGCGTCAACTGAATTTACCTCTTGTACAAGATATGAATGTGGAGAAATGAGTGACCTGGGATAAGGGCACTACAATGTACAGAACTGAAGAGGATGAACTACATATGAAGAGTTCACAAGATCGACTTTCTGAAAATAGTTGCTTTGATTTCTCCATTATTGTATTCTGTTTCATAATCATTAAGCACATTACTAATTGTTCATGTCCCGATGTTTCCCAATCCCCCATCCATTCTCCAATGTTCGCCCGTACCGTATACACGGAGTCTTATATCTTAACCTCAGCAGGAATATCAACGCTCTCAAGCTTAAGTCCCTTTTTTAATTCACTCTTGCTTGGCATCTTTCCTCTTCTCATCAACTCTGACGCCTGTGTCATGATTGGATCAAATTGCATAGTACCAACAGCGACGACAGTCTCTCCTTTGCAATAATAAGCCACAAACTTCGCTTTCTCTGGCTCACCCTGCAATACGAGATCATCCCAACCATTGATAGTATTACCACAATACCTGAGTTGTGAGCCGAGTGCTGACCAGAAAATTGGAATGAATGATTTAGGCTTTGCGGAGGGGTTGTTGATATGTGTGGCAACACTTCTTCCTGAGTTTTGTGCCACATTCCAGTGCTCAATTCGGGCTAAACTTCCTTCGCCACCAGGACCATTATATGGATAAGCTGCGATATCACCAATAGCGTAAACATCTTTAAGACCCGAAACGATGAAGTTTTCATCAGTTGCCAATGAACCATCTTCACGAAGTTCAACTGATTTGTTGTCTTTCAAGTATTCCGTTGCAGGACTGATACCTGTCCCTAGGATCACCAAATCTGCTTGAAGGGTCGTACCGTCCTTCAATTGTACACCTCCAACTTTAGAAGAATCCGACTTCGAAGGTACGGCCTTTTCAACACCAGCTTCCATATGGAACTTAACACCATTTCCTTCTAAGGCCTTTTGGAAGATTCTACCGACTTCAGCACCCATAACTCTCTCAAGTGGTGCAGATTCCATGCCAACAACCGTAACATCATTATCCTTAGCTGTAGCATTCGCAACTTCCATTCCGATAAATGAGCTTCCAATGATGACAATCTTCTTATTCTTCTCCCCAATAGCCGCCACGATGCCTTTCACATGATGAATATTACGGAGGAGAAAGATATTACCCAGCTCTTTGAAGCCAGGCAAAGGCAAACTCTTTGGAGATCCACCAGAAGCCAAAACCAACTTCGTATAAGGGAAACTAGAGATTGGGCGTGTCAGTATCGTTTGAACAATGGAGTGCGTGTAGGCCTCGTTCCATTATCTCGGATGAGTGTTGTAAGATTGACGACTCAGATGCAAACTCGTAAAAATCATGAGAATAGGTACACTTACGAGCTACCATTCTTCGTCGCTACCTTCTTTCCCGAGAAGTCAACACTAGTGACAGTATCATTGACAGTTGTGATTGATCCGTCTTTGAACCAAGCTTCATCCCTCAAAGCAATTTTTGATGCATCATCAATGAGAGCTTTAGACAATTTTGTTCTATCGATTGGTAAGTATCCTTCGTTGCCGATCATGGTAATTGATCCTTTGAAGCCGGCTTCGCGAAGTGCTTCAAGCGTACTGAGAGCACCACTTCCACCGCCAACAATTACTACCTTTTCTGACCCGATTCCTCCGGTAATTCTGATATTTGGTTTTCTGCGGCTACCCTTGATTGTCTCTTCTTCTCCTGTAACATATACCGAACCATTCTTTTCGGACAACTCGAACGAAGGGAGGGCATCGAGAGCAGGGGCATTTTCGATATCTCCATTGCTGGCATTGAAACAAGCTGTCAATGAAAAGTTAGCATATTTCCATTTACATCTCCAAGATCATGAAGATATACCTCCGTGCCATGGGCATGTAATACGACCGTCTCCAGTCAAAACACCGTTGACCAATGGAGCACCATAATGTGTACACTTATTGCCTATAGCCGTAACCTTTCCACCAACATTGCACAATAAGACCTTTCCTCCTTCTACACCTTCTACTTCAATTTCTTTCTTCTCTCCAGGCTTCAAATCCAAGGAACTGAGATCCTTGAGCTTATACTCTTGTGCCATTGTTATTTGTGTGGTTGTGAAATGCTTTGCGAAGTTGCTATGTGGAACGTGGGGAACTAAAGAGCGGGAGAATAAAGCTTGTCGACTAAGATGTCTTAAGTTCTTGGGTACAGAGGATTTGAGAGCGTACATGAAAGAGAAGAGATGGCAGATGATTCAGATATGAAAGAGGAAGCATAAGAGAGGATTCACAGAGGTGGGGAGATGTTAATCTATTTTGTAGTCATGGCGTACTTATGGCTGCGAATGTGGTATGATGATGTCGTCGATTCTTCATTCTCGATCGATTGTATTGGAGGAGTAAACTGCATGGTAATTCGGAGCTTTTCATTGGACGAGAGAGAAGCTTGAGCTCTTTCCCGGAATGTCGTCACTACTTTTAGTGGGGTTATTCGAGAAGCTCTCGGATCGTGCCGTTTCATTGGTGGAGTTATCGATAATCCCAGCGCTAGTACAGTTTAAGGTTTAGTTTGCTTTTGGCCCATTTGGATTTCAGATATGAATTGTTCGGAGGAGAACCCATATTTTTATCACTGCGTTTAGGATAATGAACATAGGATCTATTACTTCGTTGATAAATGCTACTGTCTATCCAGCTCGATTTTGGTCTCATTGTTGTCTTTAGCCTGCCTGCTTAGTTTTGAGAGAGCTGTGAGCTATGCCGACTTTCTAGGTGTTACCGGGACATTTACCATCCATTGAAGGATCTCATAAATGATCTCTCCAACAGCAATGCCAGTAGTCTCAGCTGAATTGTCATAGATTGGAGTGAATTCCACGACATCTGATCCCACAATCTTCAAGCCTGCTTCTGATAGCCCACCGATGATTTGCAACAGCTGTGTTATGAATGTTAGCCCATGTAAAATTATCTATCGGGGTTGGGAGAAATACCTCTCTTGTTGTCCATCCACCAGGTTCGATTGTTCCAGTTGCAGGTGCATAGGCTGGGTCCAATACATCAATATCTACACTCAAATACACATACTCATCACCAACGCGTTCAACAATCTTTCGAACCACCTCTTTGATGCCAAGCTTATCAATTTCTCTTGCTCGAATATATGTAAACCCGCATCTTAGATCGTTGTTCAAATCAAAATGTTGATCTTGAAGCGGACATCGTGTTCCTAGATGCATATTGCTATGATTTGACAAAAGTCCTTCCTCATGAGCAATGTGTAACATGGTTCCATGGTTGACATCGGTGTATTTTGATAGTCCACCACCGAGCTGTACCGGATCCCATGTATCAAGATGGGAGTCAAAGTGTAAAACAGCAACACGTCCCCATGTTGAGTGGAGAGCTCGGAGAATAGGTAATGCTGAACACAGTTCAATATCCAAGAGCATTCAAGCCATCCATGATCAAGGAGACTTACTAATGGTATGATCACCGCCTATGCTAATGGCCCGTATAGCCTTGCCATCGGTATCATTCTTTGGACTTCGCGAGTTGATTGATTTCATGCCATTCTCGAGTTGTTTCAAAGCCAAATGCTTATCAAATGGCGTATTCGAAATGTCTCCACAATCGACCACAGTGGCCCAGTCGCGGAAAGGATTCACATTATTTTCAATACTAATGATAGTCAGAGTTTTTGTCCTGATAGCCTATTTGAATGGCCAAACTTGCCTCCACCCAAAACCCGGAGACATCCTTTTGGCCCCTTGCCGTGCAGCATTCGGACCAAATCTTGCACCGGGTCTATATGTGACTCCTAGATCAAATGGGTGGCCTACAATTGCCACATCGAATGTTCCATCATTCTCGGGATCAAAACAGTCCACGGCAGGTAGATGGGCAAATGTTCCACCTGAGTTGGATATTACATCCTCTTCCTCAAAAGTCCGCCATTCAAATGTTGGTCTTAATGCAACCGGTTCCTCTAATCCTAAGATCCCATTTTTGTAAGGGGCAAAAATAGATGAGGCGATGAAATTTTGATGTTGGTTGTTGGTAAGTTTTAGTGGTCGCTGATACGGCCCTGAAGGAGCAATTGTCGCGATTGCAGCGGGTAGAAATGTTAAAAATGGGATGAGAGAATGAAACATTGTGATAGCTTAACTTCGATCTAATAGTTAGGAAATTCCTTCATTATGTATCTACGTACCGATACTTGTTATCGACAGTGACATACATGTGTGATAAATGTCATGTGGTAATCTCTGAAGATCCTGATGTCTTGATGCTTGGACAACTCATGGTTGATCTAGATTTAGGAGGTCCATGCGAACCCCACTGTTTACTAACGAACGGCCAGCCCTTGTCGTCAACCGTTGATCTGATGTACCTACATCATCAAAAGTATATCCTCTTATTCCATTTTGCCATAAGAGTCATACATTGTGGCAGTATCTAGGCCACAACTTCTATTTATCCAAATATTGGTAGTTTTTGGGCCTCCGAATACTCGGTGAGGCAATGAGGCTTTGTGCTTACAATGATTAGTCATGTGTCCAAGTAATCCTGGCCCTTTGCTCAACCTCGGACGAGTGTCGACATCAGCCACTCTTCACAGATTGGATATCTTATCACAATCATTGTATGCCTACCGATACGCCATGCAATGTATTCGGAGATGATTGGTATTATCGAGCTACGTAAGATTCAATCAGTCATTGTCGCGCTGTGAGACCCAGAAAATCCTCAGCCGCTGAACATGGGAGGTAAGCGCCAACAGCGGTTGGGCAGTTCGAATTGCAGGTGGGGTTGATGAGACTCTGTAATATGATATAAGGAAGTTCTGCCTTTAACTCTGTTATTTCTCGAATTCTTTCTCATCATCTCGTTGATATTTTGTAAATCGTTTTATCTTCATTATTCACTGTATATTCAATCGAACGAGCCCCTGAATATCGAACGAGCCCATCGGTTGTACAGAAGTATCGTACAATCGGTAAGTAGCTGATCTTGGGAACTTAAATATGGCTGTACCACCATCCCCCGGGCTGGGCAAGCTCAACAAGAGATTCAACAAGATGGCTTCACCTTTACCGCGTCCACCCCCTTCCTGTGGCTCTAGCGACGATGACTCTTCCGACGACGAGTCTCAAATGGTTCTTAAACAAGGACCAGGAGGAAATATTGTTTTCGTTCCAGCACCAGATGTGAAGAAGACCAAGCACATATCCCCTCAAGATGCCATAGATGAATTCTGGGCCAAATTTAAGAGCAAGACACCAGGAAAAGGTACGTCGTGAAGCATCCACTCTCAAATCCCTAATACACATACTGATTTGCGTTTCGAATTTAGCATCTACTGTTCTGCCCAAGAACCTTTACACAACAAAAGCCGGTCAGAGGGCATCCAAACCAGTCACAAGAGGCAAAAATGCCGTTGCATCATATGAAGAAGCGGCAGCACTTTGCAAAGCAAAAGTTGCAAAGATTGTCAAAGAATGTCGTCGAGTAAATCAAAAATATCGCGATCCACATTTCGATATCGAGTTTGATTTGAAGTGGGGCAAAGGCGATTGCCTGCAAATGCTCGAGAACACAAGTGAAAAATTAACACCAACATTCCATCCTGGATCTGTCAAAAGAGTCGGGGACATATTTGACAATCCTCAATTCTACGTCAACCAAGCAAGCGCAAATGATATTAGACAGGGCCGTGATGGCGATTGTTGGTTCATGGCAGCTCTCTGCACATTGGGAAATAAGCCTGGCTTGATTGAAAAAGTCTGTGTTGCAAGAGATGAGGAGATTGGTGTTTATGGATTTGTCTTCCATCGTGATGGAGAGTGGAGATCAGAAATCATTGATGACAAACTTTATTTGACGAAACCTGATTATGATGAAAGTTGGATTGAACGTAATCTCATCGAAGATCGCCAGCGTATCAATTCTGAAGAGGATTACCGCAAGATTTATCAGAGCAACTCTGGTGCGTTGTATTTCGCGCAGTGTGAAGATCCAAATGAAACTTGGTTGCCGTTGCTTGAGAAGGCATATGCAAAAGCTCATGGAGTAAGTCTATCTATCAAGAATTCATAATTCATACACTGACAAATCATAGGATTACGCAGCTATTGAAGGAGGTCATACTGGTGAAGGACTCGAGGATCTTACTGGTGGTGTCACAACCGAAGTTTTCAGCACAGATATTCTTGATAAGGAATATTTCTGGAAAGAAGAATTGCTCAAGGTCAATAAAGACTTCCTTTTTGGTTGTGCTGCCGGTATCTTCTGGGGTCGTGGTAATAGAAAAGGTATCTATGAAGGCCATGCATATTCGATTCTACGAGCTGTGGAGATTGATGGCCAACGACTTGTCTTGTTGAGAAATCCCTGGGGTGAAGGTGAATGGAAGGGTGCATGGAGTAAGTTAAATTTCTCAGTCATGCAAGTTGTGTTTGTATTAACTTGTGGTAGGTGATGGAAGCAAAGAATGGACACCAGAATGGATGAAAAAACTCGAGCATCGCTTCGGAGACGATGGTTCATTCTGGATGTCATACGACGATCTTCTCAAAAAGTTTCAAACATTTGATCGTACAAGATTATTCACCGACGAATGGAAAGTCACTCAGTCATGGGCGTCTATGGAAGTTCCATGGACTGTCAATTATCATGATACAAAATTCTCTTTCACTCTCGATAACGCAGCACCTGTTATGATTGTTCTCTCTCAACTCGATGGCCGTTACTTCTGTGGACTCGAAGGACAATACCGGTTTGAATTGTCTTTCCGTATCCACAAAGCTGGCGAAGAAGATTACATTGTTCGAAGTCATGGTAACTACTGGATGCGTCGATCCGTCACTGCCGAGTTGGAACTTCCAGCCGGCGAATACGACGTATTGATGAAAGTTAAAGCTTTCAAAGATGGTAGTTCTTTACCAGTCGAAGATGTTGTTCGTAACAATGCGAAAAGACGTCGTGATAAGCTTTCTCGAATTGGTCTATCTTACGATCTAGCTCATGCTAAGGGGGTTGTCAGAGAGACTCCCGAGGAAAAGAAAGCTAGAAAGGAAGCCGAGGAGAAGAGAAAAAACAAGGCGAGAAAAGAAGTAAAGGAGCGATTGATGAAGGAAAAGAAGAAGAGGGTTCATAATGATAATAAAGAAAAACGGAAACTTCAAGAACAGAAAATTAAGCGTATGGCGAAGGCAAAGACTAAGAAAGCCAAGAAGGCAGCTAAAGAGGGAGCTTTAAAGGCTGTTGAGGAAGAGGCCAAAAAAACAGCTGAAGATATTGCCAAGGTCATTGCAGAGCGAACTGCAAAGAACGATAGTGATAAAGATTCAAAGACCGACGAGAAGGTTGTGGACATCAAATCCATCGAGATTGAATCTAAAGATGGTGAGAACATCTCGACTAGTGATGCCTCATCTGATAAATCATCAGAGAATGAGAAGCCGGCGACAATATCTAGACCAACGTCAGAGGCGCCTGGAAACTCAACGTCCACGAGTGAACCAGCCAATACATTGACGGGAACTAAGTCAAGCGACGACAAAGTGATCCAAGTCAAGGCCATAAACGTAGATGTCAAATCAACCACAGTCACCCCACAATCAGCGCCTGCTCTTACAAACCTATCAATTCCAATTCCACTCAAAGCCCCCATTGACGACGATGATGACTCTGATCTTGAATCGATTTGTTCCGACATCTCTGACATAACCGTCGGCGTTCTAGACGACGTGCTTGAAACTGAAGCTAAAGCAGCTCCTCCCCCTTCACCAATCAAAGGCGAGGATGAACAAGAAGATGAGTTCGAGAAGGATCCTTGGAATGCTGTTTTGGTAGTGGGTCTCAGAGTTTACAGTAAGGAGAGTGCTGTGACAGTACAAGTCAAGAGGGAGAGAAAATGGGAGGAACCACAGAAGAAAAAGAAGAAGAGAGATATCATGGGAGAAGAGATTAGTAGTGATGAGGAAGAGGAAGAGGATCCAATGGAGATTGGAGAGAAGAAATTGGATGTGGATGATTCGGCGGCTGATGCGGCAGATCAGGCGGTGGAAGCGGCGGTGGATAGTCCGATTGTGGAGAAGGGGGATCCGATCGCTGAAGAGGGAAAGGAGGAGGGCAAGGAAGTGGAAAAGAAAGATGAAAGCGGAAAAATCGAAGAAACACCGACCACTGAGACAGAGACTGACGAAACGAAATCCGGAACTGCAATTCAGGAAGTAGAAGGCGAGACTAAGAAAACTAACGAAATTAAAGTCGATGATTCTACTACCGGTTCTACCGTCAAAGTAGAAGTGGAAGTTGAGGTCGCAGTTAGCACCAAAGAAGAAGTAGAACAGGAACAGGAAACTGCCAGTCAGAAGGATAGCGAGGAGAGTTCCTCGGTTGTTATCGTTTAGGTATTTTGGGGATTTGGACGGGACGGAATAGGCTTGATGGTGAGCTTTTTGGTGTGGATTACTGGATAGGATTGGTTTATTTGCTTTTAATGATTCCCCTCTTTCTTATTGGTGTGTTGGTTTGTTTATTTGGATTTCTGCACGGGTTAATGGAGAATTTCACGGATAGGTATCAGGAATTGGCGGGTCCATAACTCCTGTCTTCCGTGTCAGTGTTTTTGGGACGGAAGAATGGAATAGATGATTCATTCACTAGACTGCTTGGTGGCTCGATAGTAGGTACTGGTAGATAGATATTCGGAATTCTAGGCGTTGATCTCATGCATTGCGTATTTTCTGGTCTGATTCGATGTGGTTTTATATGATTTTTGGACGGTGACTTCCCAATTGTAGTGACCTCAGTGTTCAATGTGTGTTCATCGTTATGATATGATATATCATTATTCGATATCCTCGGATTTAGCTCTGACTCATAGAAGGCCAAACACCTCATTTCGTCTTCGCATGTAAGTGTCTATGCCTATACATCACAATGGGAAACCAACAGAAACCCAGTATCTCTATTGAATACCAGCATCTATCTTCACTAGCCACTTCCTGCCAAGTCTCAATTGTGATTAACAAGTGGACATAAGATCGTCAGCCTACCTGGATCCCTCCATCACCTCATGCGATCAGAAAGTATGGAACTCCGCCGCTAAGAGAATCAGGTTACTCTTGTAGTTTGCCATCTTGTGGTATGTGCATCTAGCCTCGAATTTGCATACTTTCTGACTGCATGGGGTCCCAGGTAGAAACATCCATCACATCCTCTAAACCTTATTTCAACTTCTCTCGTATATGTTCTTCATGATTGATCACAAAATCCTATACTAAAAGAAACTATCATGTAAAGAAATCCACTTCCTGTTTAGAAAAATTGGAGATGGGGAATTACTGCGGAGTTGGTTGTCGTTGAAGGGCGTGCCGCATGCCGGGACCCACTAAATGTTGAGAATGACTAAGATGAGCTTTTTGGGAAGAAGTTGCTTCTTTCTTTTGAGTTTGAGAGATCTTTTTGTTTGTTTTTGTTGATGGTTTTATCTGTTCTGAATATGTGATTCTTCTGGGACTTCATGATTGATGACATTTCAATTGAATTGATGATCTGAAAATGGAGTCGGGGATGTCGAAATGATAGTGTTTGGAGATCATCGGTCGTCTGTTTGCAGCAACCAACACTTGGACGGCTCGTTCAGCACGTAAGACCATGTACGATTGAGAATTGGATTGATTTTTCTACAGAGCATAAGTAAGTTTTCTTGTAAAATGGAAGAGGATGATTCTGACTTACACTTCTGAAGGCTGATAATATAATGTTGCTTCACGTAAAGTCGTTGATGTGAACTCCTTCACGCATTTTGACGCGAGATCTTTATCACACCCTTCTCTCACACCAAAGAACTTGATAACATCATTCATTTCTTCGACATATCAACAACAAAACTCCTCTAAAATTTTGACTGAGAAGATGATTGATGGATACAACGATGAAAAAATCCGGGACCTCAAAATACATTACCGGACCAGAAACGTTTCTATTATCAAACCTCATCAATTACACGCCACCACAAAATCGACATCTCACGTATCAAAAGTAATAGGGATCTGAATTCAAAAGTTTTCCTTAATTACCAGGATATCTTTAGGGTATGTAGCTAGATCTTAACGAATGAGATCCCAGCCCAAATGGGTATATGATCCATCAAACAAAGTACACGAAGTGTAAAGCAAACCACGTACGAATCCTCCTCTACGCAATCCAGAACCAGATCTTCTCAAAAATGTTTCTTGGTTCCAAATCTGGCCATTGGTCATCCTCTGCATCCAAGGCTGCCTTACCAGTGTAGATATCGGCATCAGCTGATTGGATCCACTTGGTGCGCTTGAAAACCTTCCAGAATCCGTAAAGCAAAAAGAAGATTGGAATTCCGATGTATGCGGTGAGGAAATCTACAAAAGTTAGGACGAGTCTCACAGATTTCAGTGCAAATACTTACTGGTAACATTCCAGTGAGAGTGGTTCTCGCCAACAAAGACATCAAATCCATTGAAGAGAATGATCATGACGAAGAAAGCCAGAGAGATCCAGGCCGTGTATGGCTGGAATTTACTCTTGAAGACGAGAGTGTTTCTATCGACACCTTGGGCTGCCAAAGCGCTATGGAATTTAATGTAGGCGACACAAATAGAGCACCAGGTGAAAAGGGATGCAATGGTGGTCAAATTTTGAAACCATGTAAAAGCTGTTGAGGCACCACCGGAACCAACCGACAAAAATGTGATGAGCGAGATTGAAGCTGTGCACAAAACAGCCCAGTATGGAACACCTGCTTTGCTGCATCGGAGAAGGAATCTTGGGGCTTGTTTGTTCTGAGCAAGGGCGAACAAGTAACGAGATCCGGTATACAAAAATGCATTGGCGGATGAAGTGGCGGAAGTTAAGATAACTGCATTGATAATCGATGGTAACACTGGAATACCGGCATTCTGGATACCAATAACCCATGGAGATCGAGCAGCACCAGCGGCACCTTCATCTTGAGCCTTGAGCAAATGTGTATCGCTGGAGGAAACAAGAACACCAATAGCCAATGAACCAAGGACATAAAAGAATAAAATTCTCCAGAAAACTCTGCGGACAGCCTTTGGAATATTCTTGCGTGGATTTTCGGCTTCACCTGCGGCTACAGCGACCAACTCAACACCACCATACGAGAAGGCGGCATTGACGAGAGTTGAGAAGAGACCAAGGAATCGACCTGTATCTCCAGTGGAGTCGTATTGCAACATGAATTGTCCGTGTTTCCAGTAACGGAAACCAAGACGATCATGCTTAGGGTTTCCTCCGAGATCTACAATAAATGCCATAATCAATAGTCCCACAATTGTAACAATTTTGATACTGGCGAAAATGAACTCGGCCTCTCCGTAGATGGACACAGCGAAAATGTTAAGGCAAATGACGAGAACGATAATTAAACTGATCCAAGCAGCGACATTGATGTGCACTGCTCCCGGCCAGTAGTCAATGACGACAGCAGCAGCAGAGATTTCCGCACACAGGGTAATTGCGGCAGAATACCAGTTCTATTTGATCACCAAAGTTAGCATAAGCTCATGACATCAATCCCGAGGGTATGATCATAGACTTGTGTAGTTTCAATGCTAAACAGCGGGGTTCCATAACGGCTTCACGAGAGTCAGTGAATCAACTTACATTCCATCCGACGGCAAATCCGAGCGCATCATCAACGTAACGAGCAGCGAATTGTGGGATAGCTCCAGGTAGAGGTAACCATGTAGCCATCTCACCCAAGCACTGCATCATGGCAAAGATGGCAATACCAGTGATACTATAACCCAAAAGCATTGAGAGCGGACCGGCTTGTGTGAGAGCACTTCCAATACCCAAGAAAAGACCGGTACCAATGGTACCACCAAGCGCAATAAATTGGATATGTCTCGATTTCAATCTACATGCGAAATTACAGTTAGATTTCGTTGGTCATGAAATATTGGATTATATGTGAGCCTTACCCTCGAGTAACGTAACCATATTCTTCAGCAGTCTCAATGTTTCCATAAAGCTCACCAGCTTCTTGCAAACCAGCAGCTTTTGTTGCATGACCGGTAGACGGGTCTACAAATTGGGCACGAGCATGATTTCCATTATAGTCAGGCGACGAGGACTCGTCGACGTTGTAGTGTTCCTTCTCCATTATTGTGGTTGAGAAAATGGATCGATATTGACGAGGAGGGAATAGGGAAGAAGAGAGGCAATCAATAGAAGAGGGAGGTCGAGCGACTTTATACAAGCACAACGATTGAAGGTGAATGATACCCAAGAGACGCGACTAGTAAATTAACATTCGGGCGGTTCAACCTACCCTGCTATACAAAAACGCCATTGCAAGCCCTCTGCAGCTGCAAGTTGTTTCAATTTCCAGCTCCTCGGCCCATCAGATGTGATGGGAAAATTCAAACTGGATAATCAAACACGCAGATTGGTCAGGGGCAAAAGCGATTAGCAGGATTTGGTAACGGGGGCGCCGTATACTATAATTCACTCTTCAATCCGAACATGAATTAGTCGCTATTCCTATTTGAAAGTATTTGGATGGAAAGCTTCCTTCGTTATCAGGAAGCATGGATTAGAGGATTCTTGCAGGAATTCGCTAGGGTTAATGTGATTTACTGGCGCGGAATTTAATTCGTGTTAAACGACAAGGATTGTTTGAATACACCATTCAACACAATATCTGTAGGCTTGCTAGGGCAGGTCGTACGAGCTGTGTAGGTTGCAAAGCATTTGCTGATGCCTTGAATGCCACCTGCAACATTCGACTTAGCATACTGCTGCATACGGGTTAAATAGGCATCCGTTAAGCCAAAGTTTTACTAATAAAGTTTTATATATCTGTGAGAGCGCCCAGGAACAACAAGACTGTAACGACAGCTAACTTGGCTCACAATACGAAGGAAGGATGTGATAACTCTCACTTCCTACAATGATAGGCTTCGTCTAGGTCTAGCTATTATTTTCGGAGAGCCCGCCGATTGACCTGCCATTTTAGAGGGGCAGCCGAGATAATACTTCTCACATTCGACATAACCTGGGACGAAAAACGCAAATGAGAGATTCAATATTTCCATTCGTTAACCTTATTAGTTTCTGAGATACGGGATTATATTTAACCAATTACACATTGTAGACACAAATGACATTGTTAGGGATAGTTGATAAGCTGACTAGGGATGATTCAACAATAACCAATAACCGAGGCCTGAAGGAGACTATATCAAACTTAGTGTACTTTCGTTAGATCAAGGGTCTAATGCTTACCTAGGTGGGGAATCTCAAGAGAATCTAATGAGACGGGAGCTTGCAGGCTTACTTATGGTATGCTGACAACTTAATCAAGCTTCAGCAAAGGTCTAGCTTTCGAAGAGCCAAAGTA